GGTGGCTCCGAAATCGAGGCTGCATTGAACAGCACCACACGCGTGCATGACAGGTCACTCTCCTGTCTCCACACAAGTCCATGCCCAGAGGAGCCAGCAGAACCATGGGCCTATGGCTGCTCACCCTTAATGCATGGGCAGACCCTGGGGACCCCAGGCTGCACCGTACACCCTTCCTGGCAAGGAATTTCCCCAAGGCCCTCACCCAGGCACTGCCTCCAGTCCCTGCTGCCCTGACCACTGACCCACAGCCCAGTCCTGACAGCAAGACCCCTTGCAGGCTGGACAAGCCTGGGGGCAGATCTCAGGACTTGCTTTGCCAGCTTTAAGCAGACAGACTCTTTCAGTTCATCAAAGGAGGCAGTTTTCTGTTTTTTCTTTTCTTTTTTTTTTTTTTTAAGATTTTATTTATTTATTTGAAAGAGAAAGAGGTAGGGAGAGAAAGCATAAGCGGGGAGGAGAGGGAGAAGCAGGGTCCCTGTAAGCAGGGAGCCCGATGCGGGGCTTGATCCCCGAACCTTGGGATCATGACCTGAGCCCAAGGCAGACGCTTAATGGACTGAGCCACCCAGGCGCCCAAAAGGAGGCAGCTTCTGCAGGGTGCCTGAAGAAGTGCCCGTAGGCAGTACTTCTCAGAGCCTGGTCCACTGTATCAGAACCACCCAGGGTGCTCGTTAATGCAAATTCCCAGGCCCATCCCAGCCTCTTGAGTTAGAACTGCGGAAGTGGAGCCCAGGAATCAGCATTAATAATGAACACTCTGGTTCAGTCCTGGTTTGGGGTCTGAGAGCCACAATGCCGGAGGCAAATTCCAGCACCCCCATTTACTAGCCCTTGGGCAAGTCCCTTAACCTCGTTGAGCTTCAGTTTCCTGGTCTGTAAAATGGGGATAATAAGGGTGCCTTCCTTGTGGGGCTGCTGTGGGAGTAAAATGAGATCATGAAAGCGAAGTGCCTGACACTGTGCCTACATGGGCTCAGCAAATGTGGACTAGTAGTTATACAGCCGTGTTCTCACACCTGGGGACTTCTGAGGGAGGGGCAGAGCCTTGAGATTCTCCTTCTGGGAGGGGCCCTGGGGGAGGTTCTTGGGGCAGCAGGAAGCCTTGGGAGGGCAGGGCCCTCACCCAAGATGCCCGCTACCTACTGGCTGGTGCCTGGGATGGAGCCCAGCTCAGCGTCCTCCACTCCCCTGAGGCCCAAAGCACAATTAGCCCTAGCTTCCCCGCTACCTCGCTGCCCGCTGGCAGTCCCCCCTCCCTGCCCTGCTGCCTGGGGAGCCTAGCTGGCTTGGTGTCAGCCTTGGCACTCCCTCTAGCTTTGTAATAAAATAGACTGCTTGGGTCAGCTTTCCTTGGCAGGGAGGCCACCTGGCACAGAGGGCAAGATGGAGGGGGGCAGCCTGGGGAAACAGCTCCTTCAATGACCACCAATTATAGTCTGGTGTTCTCCAGGGATCACTGGTTCTCCAAACCAGGTGACCCCTGGGGAAGAACCCTTCTCATCTTCCCTTTTTTCCTAGTGCTTCACCACTCATTTACCCATACATTCATTCATTCAATATCCAAATGTCTACTGCATGTCAGGCGCTGGGGCTCGACAGTCATCACCAGGATCGACAGACGTTTCCTGTAAAAGGCCAGACAGTAAATGTTTTCAGCTCTGGGGGACACACTATTCTGCTCTTGTAGCACGACAGGAACTGCAGACAGTATGCAGACAAGTGGGTGGATGTGGCTGCGCTCCAACACCACTTTATTTGTGGACACTGGAATTTGAATTTCATACACTTCTCATGTGTCGTCAAATATTCTTCTTTTGATTTTTCCCGCAACCATTTGAAAATGGAAAACCCGTTCTTAGTTTGTAGGCTGTACAAAACAGGCAGCAGTTCACCGGCCCTGAGCTTAGCCCTCTACACAAAGCCTGTGGATTGTGCCACGCCCTGTGGGTGCCAGTGCTCTTAAGAGAGGCAAGGTCTTTGGGGAGGCTCAGCACGGAGGGGAGGGAAGCCGCAAGCCCACTGCCACTCGACCACTGCAGGCCTCCCAGAGTCTATCCCCTTGATGCCACACATGTTCTCTGTGATTTAGATATGGGGACTCTTAGGTCTCCTTTGGGACCTGAAGCTTTTTGAGGGCAGGAACATCTTCAAGCATTTAGAGTCAGAAAGCCTCTGGGTTCAAATACCAGCTTGACTGCTCCCTAGGTGAATGACCTTGGGTGAGTCACTAACATCTCTGTGCTTCGTTATCCTCATCTGTAATATCCACCCCAAGAGTTGTTGAAGGGGATAAAGAAGTTGAAACACGCATGTGCAATGCACACACGAGTGCCTATCATGGAGTTGGTGGTCCGTGCTCGTTGACCCTTAGCGCGGCTCCTTTCCCCACCCACCCCAGCACCCAGTATGGCTCGGAGCACAAAGTACATGCTCAGTCTCTCCTTACTAAGTCCTAACCTCCAGAATAAGAGAAAAAGGCCCCCAACTCTGTGCCCAGGAACCCCTCAGAGTCTGTATCCTGGACTCCCCTGAGGCTTTGCTCTTTGGACTTAGCTTGGAGCATTTCCCTTTTGGCTTCTTTGCCCCCAGCAAAATGATCTCCTCGTCCCTCCTAGACCAGCCCACCAGGATGCCCAGGGTTAGGAGTATGTGGACATGAAGAGCTCTTGGTTGGTTCTGCTTCAGGGACGAGCCATGGAGGAGGCGGCTGCTTGACTGGGAATAAAGGGTGCAGAAGCCTACCTCGCCTGCCAGCTCAAGGTCCATGGGGATGGGCAAGCTGCCCAGGCCAAGCCCTTGGGCATCTCAGCCATTAGGCCAAATACATTAGGCTGACCCTCTAGCACTTTGCCCTCCTCTCTAGGCACACTCCTCTCCCAGGTGGTTGCCTGATTTACCCTGCCTTCCAGAACAGCATGCCCCGTCCCGCTCCAAAAGCCTCTCTTATTACCTTATCTGGTTTCATTTTTTTATGGCACTTATCACTACGTGAAATGTTATTATTAGGACTGTTTCGGTCAGTCTCCCTTCCACTAGATTTTAGGTTCCTGAAGGGCCAGACTTTTGTCTGCTTTCATTCTTATGATTACCCTCACAGAACAGATAGATAGTATCTATCTATCTATAATATGAGCATACTGAGGTTACCAGGGTAGTGAGTAATGGAATGAGGAGTCAGGGCCAGGGCTGTTTCATAGTCAAACACATTCTGCACCTCTATCATTAGACACAGTTTGATTACTGTGGCAAGATGGAGTTGGGGAGGAGAGGGCATAGGCCTTGAGCCCTGTGGTGTGTTTGCAACAGCAATAGCAGCTGTGACACGGCAGGAAGCATTTATGGAACTCCTAGGAGCCTTCTCCCGCACTGCTGCAGGAGGCCAAGCCAGGTGGGCTTCACTCTTGCCTTCTTAAAGCTCATGTGCTATTTAGGCAGAGACACATATTCTAGCCTCTTCACTGCAAAGCAGACTGGGCTAGAAGCTATAAAGGTCACAAAGTGCTTTCCAGGTGCTTAGGCTGCTATAACAACATACCAAGGACTAGGTGGCTTAAATAACAGGCATTTATTTATTGCAGTTCTGGAGGCTGCAAAATCCAAGATAAAGTGCTGGCTGGTTTGTAGATGGCTGCCTTCTTGCTGTATCCTCATATGGCAGAGAGAGAGCATCCCCCTCTCTCGTCTCTTCTTATAAGGGCACTAGCCTCATTCATGAGGGTACCACGCTCATGACCCATTACCTACCAAAGGCCCCACCCCCAAGTACCATCACACTGGGGATTAGGGCTTCAACATGAATTTTGGGAGGACACCAACATTCAGTCCATAGCAGGTGCTGACTGTAGTACTCAGGAAAGTCAGGACAATGGGGTCTGGGAGAGTGGTTGGTGGGGGATGCCATCAGGGAAGGCACTTTGGGCAGAGGGCAACCGGGAACGAAGGCCAAGGAGATAGGGCTGTTCGAGGAATGGTAAGGGTTCGTAATGGCTAGGCCTGGCGAGCGTTGGAAAAGGGCAGTGGTGGTGTGAAAGATGGTTCAGAAAGGTAGACTGGGGTCAGATCAGGGAAGGCCTAAAAGAAACTGGGTAAGCGGGCTTCCTACGACTGCATAGAAGATAAGAACAATGGCAGAGCAGCTGATGCTGTGTGTTGGGTGCTTTACGTTTTATAAAGCACTTCCCGGCCATTCCTCTGCTGTGTCCTCACAACTGGTAGCCTGTAAGCAAAAGTTTAGGATCTGAAGCCCAGGGTCGGCTCCACTCAGGCACAAGTTGTTTAGATTTGAACAGGTCACCTCACATCTCCACATCTCATCTTACTCATCTGACAACAGGGTCCAATTCTCAGCTCTTTAGAAAGGATTACACAAAACCGCACACGTGAAAATGCTGATTTAACTTCCGGTCCTTCAGTCCTTTCTGTGTAAAATGCTGGCAATTCCCGTCCTAATTCTGGGGGCTGTGGCGCAACCTTGTAAACCAAGGCCAAAAGGCAAGAATCTTAGGAACGAGGCCGGAGAAGTTAGTGTTTCTTGGTTGGTAGGCTGAGAGCCTCAGGGAAGGGATTTTGGCTACTTTTTTTTTTTAATTTAATTTTATTATGTTATGTTACTCACCATACATTACACCATTAGTTTTTGATGTAGAGTTCCATGATTCATTGTTTGCATATAACACCCAGCGCTCCATGCAATATGTGCCCTTTTTTTGTTTTGTTTTGTTTCTCATTATTTTTTTATTTTTATTCTTATGTTAATCCCCATACATTACATCATTAGTTTTAGATGTAGTGTTCCAAGGGATTTTGGCTACTGTAACAGCTTCTCTTAACTTACTTGGGACGGGGAGGGACAGGGACAGAAAGCTCACAAGCTCAACTCAGACGAGAGGAGCGACGCGGCGCAGGCACACTGACGTCACCCAAGCCGGCCGCTTAATGGACCAGAACCTCCCGTGCTCCGCCTCCGCTGCCCCAAGATCACCAATCAGAGAGCGAGGAGCTCCGTGACGCTATCCTCTTGCGACGAGGCCGGTTGGTGGCGGCGTTTCCCGGCGAGCGAAGCCGGGCGCCGAAGCTATGGGCAGCCGGGAGGTGCTGGGTCAAGCGGCCCGCCTGGCCTCCTCCGGTCTGCTCCTGCAGGTACTCTCTGCCCGGCCGGCCCCAGCCTGACCCGCAGCTGGGATGCGCGGGGAGGCGGCCCTGGGGCCCTTGAGTGCGCGCCCCGGGGCACACCCAGTCCCGGCGTGGACCCCACTTACAGAGGGGTTGGACAGGAGGCAGTGGCGGCGGAGAAGGGGCGCCTGGGCCTGGAGTGCAGAGCCCTAGCTGGGAGACTGCAAACAAGTCACTTTCGTTCTGAGCGTTGTAGCTCCCATATGGTAGTAGGAGACCGGTCAGGTGACAGGGGTGCCTTTGGTGCTCTAGAATCTCATGCTTTTAAGGGAAGGGGTTCACTTTCTCCATGCCCCATCGCTGACCCTCCAACACCTTTTTCAAACCTTCTGACTCCCACTGAGTTTAGAGAGACAGTATGGCATAACTAAGAAAAAGATATCTGGGTGTAGGAATCCTGGTTCTACCTTGTGCTTGCTCCATGACCCAGGACAAAGGACTCGTGTTATGCCTCAGCTCCTCATCGGAAAATTGGGGTCATAATAGTTCCTAGCTCATAAAGTTGCTATGAGGCTTGACTGGAGTCATTCAGATAATTAATTGTACCTAATGCTGTACCTGACTCTTAGTATGCACTTAGTAAATATCGGCTGCATTTTCCTTCTGGCTGTGTGACCTTGGATAAGTCACTTCCCCTTCTTGGCCTTAATTTTCATCATCTTTCAGATAAGGTACATGCCATTTGGTCCAAATGGTCTCTAAAGACTCTAGTAACCCTAGGAGCTGGTCATTCTGAGTGGCTCAGTTTTTCTGCGTTACACTCTTAAGCCATTCAGCCCTTACTCAGAGAAGTCCTGAATCCACCCTCCCCCTTATTTTAGAGGCAGTGTTTCAATTGGATATTACAAGAACCCGGCGCACTTGCGCTCATTTAGTCCTTGTTACTTGGCAGATCCCTGCCCTTGTGAAAAATCACTACTTTGAGCATCAGTTTTCCTTATCTTAAATGAGAACAATAATGCAACCTCCTGGGGTCATTAGCAAGATTAGATGGCATGACTGTTAAGTGCCTAGCTCATTATAAGTACTTAGTAAATGTTAGTTTTTATTATGGTAATAAGGATTTTTAAAATGGTCATTATAGGGATAAAATTAAATAATCACATAAAACATGTAGAAGAGTTCCTTGCACAAGATACGTGTTTAGTAAACATTCACCTAACCCTAAAGTAGGTGAACTGTGAATTTACCAAGTCTTTTTTCTTCTATTCCACAACATAAATAACTGAGTTCAGTGCCATATCCACAATGCTGACTGTTAAGGCTTTGATGATACCTTACCACCCAGATTAGATTCATAAAAAAAGAAACAGACCACATCTTAGCAGAAAATACAATGGACTAGGAGTCAGGTGGCCTACCTATAAAGTGAAGCTGGGTCATATGATTGTTGTGTGACATTGGGCAAATCACTTTGCTCTGAGTCTTAATTTGATTCCTGTGGGTTTACCCAGTTGCTTTGAAGGATCAAATGATTAACAGATGTGAAAGCTGTTTCTAAACTGTAAAGCCCTTGAGGGAGGTGGGTGGGGGATGGGCTAGATGGGTGATGGGTATTAAAGAGGGCACTTATGATGAGCACTGGGTGTTGTGTGTACCAGATGAATCACTGAATTCTACTCCAGAAACCGATATTGGGCACTGTCTGTTAACTAAAATTTAAAAAAAAAACCCACAATATATATACAACGCATGTAATAAATCCCTCATTTTTAATATAAAAAATAAACTGTAAAGTCCTTTACAAAGTTAAATGAAGATTGTGTTGCTAATAACAGCCACTATATGGAGCAAATACTGGGTAGCATAAACAACTTCAGAGCATCATTAACTCAACCCTTTCTTCAAACCAATTAGGAGATAGGGATATAGCCCGAGACATTTTCTTAGACGATGATAACTTTGACTTTTAAGTTAGCATAAATAGGTGTACATTGTTTTAAAAATATAGCCATAATCTAGGCTTCCTGAGTGTTTTAATCCGTGTATGTTTAATCTTCTAGGCCTTCTCAAATTACAGTGCAGACACTTAAGATAGGTTTGCAATTACATTGTATTCTGCAAGAATTTGAAAGCTTATTCTCTGTCTTAATTCTGAGCTGGTCATAGTGAAAGTATTAAGGTCTTTCATTTGTATGTATTTTTCAAAAATGCTTTCACCTTCACAATCTTGTTTGATCCTTGTTCTCAACCCTATGCGATAGGTAGCCTCATTTGACAGAAGGAAATTGAGGCTCATAGGAGTTAGGAGATGATGGGTTTAACAGCTAAATGGTGATTTGAGACTCAGCTGAGCACTTTTTCCATTCAGGGCTCCATGAATTGGCTTCAAACGTCTAAAATTGAGTCAAGAATTTGGTATATATGTATCTGCATGTTTCCAAGGAGAGCTACAGAGCTTTCATCAGGCCTTTCTCAAAAGGCCACCTTTGACTCCATAAAGGTTAAGATTGGCTTTAGAGACCTTATTGCTCTGTGACACTTCAGTGTTAACAGACACTGACAGTGTTAAACTGTACTCACCGTTTTTGGTCATACCTTTCCCCAGAGATTTTCAAACCATCATGGCCCATTGACATATTTTGATTGAATCTTTCACAGTTCAGCTGTTGAGGGGAGTCTGGGTGGCTCAGTCAGTTAAGTGTCCAACTCTTGATTTCGGCTCAAGTCGTGATCTCAGTGTTGTGAGATCGAGCCCCGAGTCTGGCTCCACACTGGGTGTGGAACCTGCTTAAGATTTTAAGATTCTCTCTGTCCCTCTCCCTCTGCTCCCCCCTCTTCCTCCCCATTCCCCCTCCCACAAGGGTGCGTGCTCTCTCTCTCTCTCTCTCTCTCTCGCGCTCTCAAAAAACCAAACAAATTGCAGCTGTTCACAGGTAACTCTGAGAGTGATTTGTCATTTGCTGTGGAGTGCACTTGAGTTACATCTGCCGTGCTGCCTGGTTGCAGAGGGGGGCTGAGGTTTGCACCTGGTCAACATCCCCATTTAGCATCCCTGCTTAGCACCCTGTTGTTCTCTGTCTCCTGGAAGAATTCTTTGCTCAGGTAGTTTTCTTGAATTGACATGTTTGAAATCTTGGGATATATCCCCTTCAGATGGCAATAGCTAGACTCTGTCTTTCTTTCCCCATTTTATATTATCTTATTATTTGCAGTTGTCATTTACTGCAAGTTACTTCATTGTGTGTCAACGGTACTCAAAATATTTTTAAGGATCTTATTTCTAAGTAATCTCTACACTCAGCTTGGGGCTCAAACTCATAACCCCAAGATCAAGAGTCAGATGCTCTACTGGCTGAGCCAGCCAGGAGCCCCTGTACTCAAAAAAAAAAAAAAAAAAAAAGATATTTCAGCTCCTCTCAAGAAAGTGGCAAATATTTAGTAAATAAATACAGGCTTTTTTCTTTTCTAATTGAGAAGACAAGTTCAAAGAGATAAAATGTCATTATCAGGATCCCCAGATATTACTAGGCAGAGAAAAAAAAAGAGAAATTAGACCCTGTGATTCCTAGAGATTCTGCCATACCCTGCAGGCTCCCACTTGCTAAGCGTGTGCTATTTCTAAACAGGCTGGAGGGAGGGCCAATGTGAAGCACTAACTAGAATTCTCTGTCTTCTGGAGTGCCTAACTTTGAACCTAAAGAAATTCACTGAATATGTCAGGGGCTCCCTCTTATCAATAAATTAGAGAGCCTTCCAAGTGCCTTTGTGGGTTCTTTGACCACCGCACAGATGTGCTCAGGACCTCAAGGACCTCAAGGACCTCAAGGACAATTTCAGAAGAAATGCAGACCAGTGGTGCATTTTTGAGAGAGTCTCTATGGCAGAGCTGTTGTATGTCAGTACGTTATTAGGAAGAACAGCCACATTGTTTTCATTTCACAAATAAATATTCCCAACATAATTTAATCTCACGAATTTTTCCTCTTTATCTGTAGGTGTTGTTTCGATTGATCACCTTTGTCTTGAATGCATTTATTCTTCGCTTCCTGTCAAAGGAAATCGTTGGCATAGTGAATGTCAGGTAAGAAGGGACGTGCCCTGTCATTGCCCACAACTCACGCCTCTAGTGAGGGCACCTGTGTGTCACCCTTGGATTTTAGAAACATAGGCCTTTCCCAGAAGCAGAGTGTTTTAGCAGCGGGCTGAGGAAGAGTATGCCGGGGTGGGGGAATGAGCAGGCGTTGTTGCTTTTAATGGCCCCATGGAATGTTTGCCATTATCGGCCTCCAAATGCACACTTCTCTGCCGCCTGTTCTGGTTTGTCTACTCTGAGAACCCAGGAGAGGAGTGGGAGTAATTCCTTGCAAGCCCTGTCTCAGGTCTAATCCTGTGTTCTTGTCCTGCTGACAGCGAAGGAAGCAGGAATTCTGCAGTATATAAGGATGTGCTTCATAATTGCAGAGCTGGAGCAGGCTGCCTTCCCTCATCAGTAAATTTTATAATTGGAAAATGGTAGTTAGGGTGAGAGCTTGAGTCCTTGTCATGAGTCTCTCGGCGGCTCTTAGAAAGCTGCCTTGCTTTGTCTTTTAGACTCCATTTTGTTTTTTCTACTCTCCTTTCTGTTCAAGGGCACCCACACATATTCTGTATTCACAAATGACACAAAAGTATATGAAGTGATGTGAGTGCTCAGAATAGCTCAGCTTCTCAGGTGTATCCTCATGTCCTGATAAACAAGACAGTGTGTTCCAGACAACATTTCTGATCGAATACCCACCAAACATATGCTCTGGGCTCTGTTCTCAGAGCTTGGAGAAGGTTCTCAAATTTTGACAGGCAAAGGAATCATCTGGGGAGTTTTGCACTAGGTGGGACTGAGGAGGGGCCCAGGAATCAGTATTTTGACAAGCTCCTCAGGTAATTTTAGAGTAGGGACCATACTTTGAGAAATACTGTTTTAAAAGCAGGAAGAGGGGTGCCTGGCTGCTCGGTGGGTGGAGCATGTGACTTTGAACTTGGGGTTGTGAGTTCGGTCCCTACGTTGGGTGTAGAGATTACTTAAAAATAAAATCTTTTAAAAAAATTTTAAAAAGAGGGGGCACCTGGGTGGCTCAGTCAGTTAAGCGTCTGCCTTCAGCTCAGGTCATGATCTTGGGGTCCTGGGATAGAGCCTCATGTGGGGCTCCCTGCTCAGCAGAGAGTCTGCTTCTCCCTCTGCCCCTCTCCCTGCTCATCTCTCTTTTTCTCTCTCAAATAAAGAAATAAATCTTTTTAAAAATTAAAAAAAAAAAAGCAGGAAAGAAGAAGACCAAATCTCCTCTTACATGCTCAGATTTGGAAACAGTTTGGGCCTCTTGCCATCTGGTCTCCTCCAGATTGGCAGGTCTCTGCTTTGACAACCGTGGTCAGGCCTGCCCCCTACTTAACATATGGTTCAGTATTTTCATTGGCAGTGGTGGACGGAAGCACTGGGTAGCAGCATGATCCTTGGACAACCTCAGAGAGACCTTAGCCCTGGGCTGTCCCCAGTCTGGCTTCATCAGCCACAGCCTGTTGATGAGGAAAACCTTAGCTACCACTCACCCAGGTGCAAGAGGGTCCACCTACGTACTGCCCACCCAGGAAGTATGCAGACAAGCCTTGCTGACCTCGGTTGCAGTGACGTCTGTAACAAGTCTGTTGCCTGTCCTGAGATGCCTTTGGCCAGAGCTTCCACTCAGTAGAGCCTCAGCATCTCTTATAAGAACTCTTGGGTCACCAGTCTCAGGATGACCAAGAGGTCCCCTTGCTGTGTGCGGTCATATCTTGTCCTTTTCTCCTCCTTATGGTCAGGGCCACACCTCTTCCTATTGCTGTGAAGCGTTTGGTTTTGGGGGCCACCGCGGCAGTTATCTATCCGGGCATAATGCTCCATAGGCACACACTCAGGTGTCCCTTGTTCAGTTCCTAACTCTGTTGTTCAAGTGGATCAGATTAGTACGGGGCCCTGTAGGAACTCACTGCCCTTCACATCGCCACCAGTGGTTTATGCCCGAGACTTTTTCTTCCTGTCGCTGGCAAAATCTCAGAAATTCTCTCTGTGAAAAAAAACTAGAGTCATTATTGATTTCTGCCTTTCCTTTACAGGCTAACACTGCTTTACTCAACTACCATCTTCCTGGCCAGAGAGGCCTTCCGTAGAGCATGTCTGAGTGGGGGCGCCCAGCAAGACTGGAGCCAGACCTTCAACCTCTTGTGGCTAACGTGAGTCGTGCTCTGGCAGGAGACAGTGCGAGAGCAAGTGTCTTAAGTCTAAATGGTTAAACAGCAACCTTGCCCAAAGCTGAATTGTCTCCAGCTTCGGTTTCATGGGTGTTTCTGAGGACTGGGCGTGGGACAGGAAGGAGAGAGCGTCCACGTAGAAGGAGTTTGTTGGCTGTTTTCTCTGTGGATGGCCAAGAGCTCTGGGTGGGGGTTTCGGGGCCAGGTTTCTAGTCCTGTTTCTACCCTCTCGGGAGATTGTTTCTGCCATTCCTGATGCCCATTCTGGGCCTTACTGGGCCTGTGCCATCTTCTTTATTCCTAATCTTTCCCCCATAGTCTTTTCTGAGCTTTTAACCACCACTTAGTATTTTTTGAAAGCCTTTTAGGGCTTTCATTATATCTTTCTTCAATTTTGTTAGGTTGATTTCAGTTCTGAGCCTTTTAGAATATTCTTGAAGGCCAAATACATCAGCTAAAACTTGTAATGGCTTTTCTGCAGTTAGATCCCTGCAGGGAGGGCTGGTGCTTGAGGTTGTTTCTCAGTGCTGCCTTACATAACTCCTTGCCTCATGGAAATGACTGTTGTGAGGCTGGTAGGTGTTCATTTTATTCGAGGCCTGACAGTTAACTACTCAGTCATATTGAAGTGCTCTGTGGTGCACATGCAAGGGGACACTGTGCACTGGACTGTTGCTTATTTGGGTGCAAAAACCAACTGGATGCTGTCTTTTAGTCATTCAGGGTGCCAACGACAGGCACGTACTTTCTGGGAATTTTGCTTATCTCGTCAGCGTAACACAGTGGATAGGAGTGGAGATTTTGGCGTTAGATGGGGATCGGGTCCTGCTTCTGCCCTTGACTAGCTAGCTGTCCATGACCTTGGCCAGATTACCCAGTGCTTGTCATCAGCCTTAGTTCCCTCATCACTTAAATGGGGATAATGACAGGATCGTTGTGAGGTGTCCGAGAAGTAAAGGGGGTGGATCTAGTGCCTGGCGTGTAGGAAGTGCATTAATAAGTAGTAGCTATTTTTATGATTATATTTTCTTTCTGTTCAGTGCTACTATTTTAATATACATTTATTTTTATATTTAGCATATTAAAAAACATTTTTTCCCTTTTCTAGAGTCCCCCTGGGTGTGTTTTGGTCCTTGCTCCTGGGCTGGGTGTGGTTACATTTGCTTGAAGTGCCTGATCCTAATGTCGTCCCCCACTATGGAACTGGAGTGGTGGTGTTTGGCCTTTCGGCCGTGGTAGAGCTTCTGGGAGAGCCCTTCTGGGTCTTGGCACAAGCACAGATGTTTGTCAAACTCAAGGTCAGTGTACCTTCTGCTTTGATGGGAAATGTGAAGAATAAGGTAAAGAGTGGTTTCTTAAAAATGTTTCCTAGGAGAGAATGATTTTTTTTTTTTTAGAATGCATCTAAAAAGAAATTTGGAAAAAGGTAACATGATCAGTTTAGTTCATTCCCTTGAAATTTGGCAGATGGGCTGGGCTTAGGTTTACCTCTGCTGTACTCTTAATGCAAAACAGGTTTACGGATAGTGAAGTTATCAGTTTAGATAAGAATGTAAGAGGACTGTAAACGTTTTTCAGATTTTTCTAGTGATTCTATTTTTAATTGTATACTAATAGTAACTTTTCATCTTTCAAAATATGTAATTTGATATGTACAAAAGGATATATAGCATATGTGTAAATCTTAAAGCATGATGGTATACTGAAGATCCATGAACTTACCGCCCAGCCCAACTAGAACATTATCAGTGCTGTGTCTAACCCTGTGCCCCATCTCCGCTCCCAGGGTAACCACTATCCCAGCTTCCTATTCATCATTCCTGTGCATCTTTAGTTTTTAATAACGTGAAGTGCACCCTTTACCGTGTTTCTGCAGGTGATTGCCGAGAGCCTGTCAGTCATCCTCAAGAGTGTCCTGACAGCTTTTTTTGTGCTATGGTTGCCTCACTGGGGGCTCTACATATTCTCTTTGGCCCAGGTAAGAGTTACAGTTTTTCACTATTGTATAATCTGTGTTTCTCCATTGGATGTTTTCTTCTTGTTCCCATTACTGTGTGATTTACATTTGCAGTATTCATGCATGTGAGGCAGGCTGGAAACTCTAGAAAGATGGTCTTGACAGTGCTTTTCCTTTGGCTGTCCATCCTGCTCCATGTGCTGTTGCCACTGGTGTCCCCAGGGGCCTGGTGAGGGCCCCACAGGCCTCGCTGTCAAACATAGTGACTCCTTTAGATGTTCTGTGGGCAAGCCCGTACAAAACTCACCTTTGATTGTCTTACTGTCTTTTGGAGGAGGGAAAAAAGCAGTGAGGGGGGTGGGGTGGGAATCGAACTGAATGTGTGTGATTTTCCCTGGATTGCAATCAGGTGTTTTCAGAATAGGAGGAAACTCTGCCAAGCCTGTTTGGAACTTGGACTGCAATGTCACACAATGCAGAGCACAGGAACCAGGTCCTGGCAGGCACACTCTCAATCCCGGCAGGCCCGGCCTCGTTGCCATCCCGTGTTCTAGTTCTAGTTCATATCCCTGGCTCTAATGAAAGTACAACTAGAGTTCAGTGCTCATTTTAAAAATGAAACCTAAGATCACACAGTTACTGGAACAGCTTATAGTACAAAGCAGTTTTTGCAATTTTTCTTAATGTATGGGAAGATAAGTTAAAATTTTTAGTAGCGATTTATGTGAAAGTCTTTCCCGTGTCCTGAGCAAAAACTACAAATAATTGTTGTGAAACACAGGAAAAGTAGATTTCCAATCAATATTATGAGAATGAGAATTGCTTCCTAAAAACAGTTTGCAAATAGTTGTGTATCTTAGAGGAGTTATCTGTGATTATTTTTGCCATGTTTATTAGATCTGGAACTATAGTTCTCCACATTCATCATGTTTTTTTATATACTCTCCCTAATAGGACAGAAGGGCATGAAGATGCCCAGTTACTGGTTGATTCCTCTTGGGAAAGACACTTGCACTATGTCTTTCTGATGCTCCCACCAGGATACATCCTAGGTCAGCAAGGCCCATTCTGAGTTTATTTGCTTTCTTATTATAAGACTTCAGAGAGCTCTTCTCTGGTACAGTCTTCATCAGTGTCTGTGTGAGAGGTCTAAGAGCCAACAGCACCTCATATCAGCAGGCAATCCCCACCAGGGCTCTGGGATTCCCCTTTGTCCAACCCACCTCCAGGTTCCTCCTTAAACAGCCCCTTACCACATGGCATCATATATCAAATAAAAGGGTCACTCTAGAATACATATTCTTACAACTCAACAACAAAAAGACTATCCAAAAAGGGGGCAAAGGACCTCAATAAACATCTCTCCAAAGAAGATATCCAAATAAATAGCCAATAAGCACATGAAAAGATGCTCCATATCATCAGTCATTAGACAAATGTAAATCAAAACCACAATGAGATACTACTTTACACCCATTAGGATGGCTGTTATCAAAAAACCAGAAAAGAACAAGTGTTGACATGGATATGCAGAAATTGAAGTCCTCACACATCGCTGGTGGGGATGTAACATGGTGCGGCCACTGTCGAAAACGGTTTGGCAGTTCCTCAAAAAGTTAAATGTAGAACTGACATATGCCCAGCAGTTCTGCGCCTAGGTATATACCCAAAAGGTTGAAAATGTGTTCATACAACTTGTACACAGATGTTCACAGCAACACTGTTCACCACAGCCAAAGGGTGGAAACAAGCCAGATGTCCATCACCTGATGAATGGGATGAGCAAAATGTGGCATATGTGTGCAATGGAATATTACTCGACCATAAAAATGATAACGTGCCATGGCACAATGACCTTGGAAACCGTTATACTAAGTGGACGAAGCCAGATACAAGGCCACCAATTGCATGATTCCATTAATATGCAGTGTCCAGAATAGGCCAGTCCATAGAGACAACGAAGATTTTGATTGCTGGGGTGTGGAGGAGCAGAGAGTGACTGCTTAATGGGCACAGGATTTCCTTTTGGAGTGATGGAAATGTTCTGGAATGAAATAATTTCTTATAATAAGAAAGCAATGTTCTGGAATGAAATAATGGTACAACACTGTGAATGTATTAAAAGCCACTGAATTGTATGTTTTAAAATGGTTAAAACTGTCAGTGTTATGTGAATTTTTCCTCAATAAAAATGGGGGAAGGATCACGTAGGATACCCTGCATGAAGACTCCCCATAGATTGTTACTATTTCCCCAGGCGCTGGTCTGTGGGAAGATGAGGGGAGGTGGGGAAGGGAGTCCTCTTGTCACAGAGGATGTTGCATCTGGTGGTACGGCTCACAGCAGAGCTGCTGTGTCTTCTTACAGGGCTTGAGGCATGGAAGAGGATGGTGGATGGTGGGCTCTGTCCTCAGGCACGGATAAGGGTGGAGAGCCGAGGAGCCTGAACCTGCTAAACAAGGCTCCCCTTTCTCCTTGCTCCCTGCCTTTGCCACAGGAGCAGGCTTAGCGTTCCAGATTGAAAGCGGGACATGGAGGTCCCATTCCTTCCTGAGCTAGTGTGCATTGCTGTTCCCAGCAGGGAGAGAAGACAGAAGGGAGCTTGTGAAAAGGGGCTGTTTGGATACTCCTCCCAACCTGCAAACAAAACCCCAGGCTTCGGCTCCTGGCCAAAAGCCACCGTTTTGTCCTGGCTGTGTGGAGGGAAGGGTGGGCCCTCTTATCACCCCCGCACCCTCCAGGCCCTCCCCCATCCTGGAGTGGCTCTTGCCCTGCCCATGCACTGGGCAGAGAGGAGGGAGCCAGCAGCTCAGTTCGTCACGGCTTATGCGTTTATGGGAAAGCCGCTGTCATCTAGGATGGCAAGTCTCTGCATATGAGCACAGGACTTGAGGGTCCTTGCAGGGTGCTGTCGAGGCAGGAGAGGCCTTCCTTTGAGAACACGTCTGACCATGCTGTGGTGGTGGCACTAGGGGATGTCTGTCAGGGACATGCTGTTCTGCCCGCCCAGAAGAACCGTTCTCCCAGTCAGGTGACGTCCTTGGAGTACTTTCCCCAGGGAGGCTGCAGTGGAGGGGCTCTTCGTGAGCAGTGCTCTTCCCCAGAGTGGGAGGCATTGCTCACTAGGAGGTGCGGTTCCTAAAGACAGTTCCCTTTCTGACTTGGCCTTTGAGGTCAAATTTCCAGGCATATCTTAATTCTGCCTGTATTAAAACAGTGCCATTTAAATCCATTATTTTCCTTTTTCAGCTTTTGTATACTGCAGTTCTGGTGCTCTGCTATGTTATTTATTTCACAAAGTTATTGGGCTCCTCAGAATCAACCAAGCAACAGACTCTTCCTGTCTCCAGAATAACAGATCTGTTACCCAATATTACAAGAAGCAGAGTAAGTAATATACTCTCTCTCTTATCATTTTAATCACAGGTGCTGATTATCCTGGAAAGAAGGAAACTATTACTTTCTCGTCGATTGCTGAAGTAGTAGGGATAATTCCATAGCTCCTATTTATGGAGTGCTCGCGGTGTGCTCGGCCAGGCCTTCTCAGCCTTGGCACTACCGACATTTTGGGCTGGATGATTCTTTGTCGTGGGGCTGTCCTGTGCATCGTAGGATGTTTAGCAGCACTCTTGATCTTTACTCACTAAATGCCGGGAGCTACCACCTCTCAGCTATGATAACCAAACGTCCCAGGGGGGATAACACTGACCCCGTTTAGAACCACCGTGTAGCCACTATGCTGAATGCTTTACATGCCTTATATTTAAAGTTTATACCAACTCTGTGAGGCTGACCTTATTATTTCTATTTTAGGGTTGAGAAACTGAGGGTTAGAGACTAACTCTCTGCCCAAGGTGAGGGTCAGAGTGAGGGTAGGGGCCTGGAGTGGCTGGGTCCCCACAGAGCACAGGCTGTAACCACCGCGTGCCAGTCTCTCTGTTCGGCTGTGTCTTGGTTTTTCCCAGGATTGACTTCCAGCCCAGAGAGTCCAGCACGCTGACAAAGCAGGGATGACCCCTGCATAGCTCCGTTGCCTAGAGTCAGGCTGGTCTTTCGGGTGACCCACTCTCCTGTGGAGACCACTGAGGATTCTAGGTGCTGATGTGTAGGAGCGAGGCATAACCTTCTTCTTCTGAACTCTTCAACTGTCAGTCCATTTGACTTTTATTTCCTGACTCTGGTGGGGTCGTTGCTACTGTTTGCGGCCCTGGAGTGGTACACGTGACGTTACGCCTCACTGCCTCTGCTCAGATGCTTTGTGAACGGGGCCGACCCACTTTCCCTTTTTCCCATGCTTGTTTGCCGGCTAGATGCGGTGCACGTAGCTGAGGTAAGGCTTCAGCTGGACTTCTCCTTATTCCTCTTTTTACTTGAAAAAGTAGTAAATATTTGAGATGCAAATTTCAGAACTTATGGAATCCTGTTATACAGCTTTTCAAGAAAGACCAGATATTATGTAAAGAAAGATATGTTCTTATTTGTTAGATAAGAGTTCTCCATTCTGATCAAACAGATCTCACCTTTAACCTAAATCGACATGGCAGTTTTGGGATACAACAGTGCCTCATCTGCAGGCTTAGAGGAGAAGGACTTGGGATCACTTCTGTCTGGAGCTGCGGCTGCCTGCCCACAGAGCAGGTCTGAGAGTGTTCCCCAGGGTTCATCTGTACCAGGCCTGGCCAGCTTTTCATACTGGGCCAGCCCTGGTGCCCAGCACTATTTTGGAAAGGAGCATTTGGACCATTAATACAGGCAAGGAGACAGAGCGTAGTGAAAAGAGCCTTAGTGTGTATTTAATTCAGTGGTGGGCTCACAGCTCCGAGCTACAGTTTCCTTATCTGTCAAGTGGGGATACTAAGAGTACCTCTCTCCTAAGGTGCTTGTGGGAGTGCAATGAAAAGGGGCATGGGAGGTACTTCATACTGCGGCGGACACAAGTGGCTATCCATGAGTGATGAGTGGCTCCACGGCAGAGCCCAGCCCGGCAGTGTCTGACGGCCCTGGGCTGGGAGCTCAGTGGTTTAATCTGGCCTTCCTTCCTGCAAGTACCCAGGCTCCTACTGCCGGGACAGAAGCCTTGACCGTGAGAAGGGATGTACCTGTCTTACACGGTGGCACGGTTCCTGCTGACAGACAGAGCACAGCCCCATGCTGGGTGCCATCTGGGATATAGACATATAGGAAGGTGATTGCTGGGCCTCGGGGAGCTTCCTGTGCGTTTGGGAGGCAGTGAGTGCAGATATAAAGCCTGTAGGACTCTCTCCAGACCTCAGGGTCCTTATTTTTAAGGTGAGATTATTGGTCTACCCGACCCATGAGGCCCCTTTGAAAACTTAAGGAATTGTGAAGGTATTTGAACTTGGACAAAGCTGTTTATAATAACTACCATGGACTGCATATTTACCCTTGCTTGGCACTATGCTGAGCACTTGACATGGACTTGTATGTTGAACCTTCCTAGTAACCCTGTGAGATATGGTCTCCATTTTGCAGATGAGAAAACTGAGGTTCAGAGGAGTTAAATGACCAAACCAACATCACACACTTGATTTGGACCTACTTCTCTCTGACTTGTGTCTGTGGACTGTCCTTAGTCTTCGTGTTTAATCTCTCTGCTGTGTAGTCCTCCAAAAGAAATTGGCTTATTGCCCAAAGTAGTTATTTGTTGGCTTAACAATTGGGAAGTTCCAGGCAGAACAATTCATTATTCAAGTTTAGTTTTTGTAAAAGAGAAAAGAAATGAGGTGAATCTGAATGCAGTGGATGACTTTACCACCAGCAGTGTACCCAACTTGACTCTCGGGAGCAGCTTTGTGCCCTGGGGGCTCCCTCAGACAGAGCTGCTCAAGCAGTAACATCCAAAACCGATTTGACCAAATTGGGAGATTTGTTTCCTGTGCTTATAGAGTCCCATCTTCTGTAAAGAGATTTATTTAGCCTTAAAATAAATGATACCTCAAATAATGGCTGCCTTTTATATTCTTTGACATTTCTGAGTGATTTCATAGGAGTATTTACGTAAACCTGAGGTATTTAAACAGGAAGCATGTAATAAGCAGTATTCTGTGTTAAGCACTATTCCAGGTGCCCTGAGTGGGGTCCCCACCCTCAGAACTTGCACTGTGGAGGGGAGATGAGGTGTGTACTCGGCTAACCACTGCAAGACGGTGTGCGTGTAGTGTTAACAAAATAGAAGCCCAGAGAAAGGACATGAATTCCATGTGGGAACATTGAGGAAGACTTCCTGGAGGAAGCTTCTTTTGAGCTGGGCCTCGACACGGACAGGCAGAGGTGAACATGCACGTGTGGCGGAAATGTGCATTTGCGGCTTTGGGAAGAAAGAATGTTTGCTTCGGGCCCATTATATGCCCATCGCTGTGTTGGCATTGGGATTGCAGAGATGACTGCGGTACTTGGGTTGGCTGGACAGTGGGGGAAGGGCGAGGAAACAAAAGGGGGAAGGAGGTTATGGCCTGCAGGGCTAGGGCCAGGTAGTGGTGGCCTCAGTGCCCTGGAGTACAGGCTTGATTCAGGGGTAGGGGAGCCTAATGAAAGGTTTGTGAACAGTGCCGTGATCCAATTGCCTATGTTGAGGCGCTTACCACCTGTTTCACATTTATGGAGTGTCTCGTTTTCTCTCATTCAGTCCTTAGACCAGCTCCAGGAGATAAGACTCCTTATCCCATTTTGAAGATGGGAGAACGGAGGCTTAGCAAAATTAGGTGTCTTACCCATAGCTTTTGCACTTAGAAGTTGGTCGCTGCAGCTTAAGCCTCAGTGTCTGAGCTTGACTCCAAAGCCCGAAGCCTCCCAGGAGAAGGATGGGCTAGAGAACAGGTTGGAGGTGAAAGAGCTCACAAGGAGGCAGTGGTAGTTGTCCAAATGAGAGTGATGAGGACAGTGGGAGGGTGGGTGGATGTGTGAGTGTGGACACAGCTGGGGCAGAGTCGATGGCCCCAGAGCAAGAGGGAGGGAAAGGGGTCTTGTGTGGGATGTGGAGGTGATATGGGGCAGGACACAGGACCATGGCTGCATACCACCCCGCACACCCACCCCGTGACTCTTGTCAGTGTGGGAGGCACATGGCTACTGGACCATCCTGGGGCAGAAGAGTTTGGGAAGGGGAAGACTGACTCACTCCATCATGAGTCCCCGAGTTCTGACTGCAAACCTTCCCCCGAGATACCACCCATCACCTTTTGCCATCCATGCCTCAGTTTCTCCACCAGTACAGCGAGGCAGTAGAATGGCTTATTGGTCAGAGGATTCTAGAGAAATGCACAGCCATAAAGACCAGCTAAGCAGTATCAACCTAGCTCTTGTGAAATAGGCCTCATTTGACCTCCCAAGTGACAAATCCATTCTAAAGAAAATGGTAGAAGCCCAAAGAATATGCTGCTTCTTTTCTACCACTTAGCAGACACCTCTGAGAAGAAACCCAATCTCTGATCAGACTTCCTGCCTCTGTGTCCTGAGTGAGCATTTTGGAGATAAGCAGTGTGACCGACCATTCCTTCTAAACCGTGGGTCTACTTAAATTGAAGGCATTAGGAGAATGGAATGCTCCCGCATGAGGTCTCAGGTCAGATACATTGTGAAGATTACACGCTGGTAAACAACCTTTTTTTAGAGAGCTCCGTCATGTTCCCAAACCCATTCGCAACCTCTGGCAAGGAGGCTCCACGAAGACCCTCTGGCCAGCTGTAACTGTTCACTTCCTTGGAAGAGAGCACAGGACTGCTGCCCAGGCCCCCCCAGGGGACCGCCTGGTGTGGGGGCGCAGAGTGTGACAGAGAAGGTGCTGCTGCCCAAGCCTCCCCTGGAGCTAAGGGCGGGATCAGTGCTGGGGATGATGTGGTTCACAGTGCCCCCTAGTGGTGGTAAATGCTCTGGCACCCTTTGTTCTGGGGAAAGGAGATGCCTAATTTTCTTGCACAGCGAGAGGGGAGATTTGCTTCTGGCCTAGAGCTCGCGGTGGCATCTGCTGCAGGTCCAGTGAGTCTCTGAGGGCAGCATGGTTTGGGAGGATTCAGGCCTGACTTTACAGTGTCTGGAAGAAAGGCTCTGAAACCGAGGGGTGAAGAGATTTGAACACTGAATATGACCTTGTTTTCAAGGGATACTCTAGACTTACTCCATCCTAAATGGTAGCCACCAGCCACATGGGGCTCTAGAGCATTTAGAATCGAGATGGGCTGTACGTGCACCCCAAGCACTGGATTTCAAAGACTTCGTATGAAAAAAATAATATGAAATGCCTCTAATATTTATTTACATGTTGAAATGATCGTGTTTTAGGTTAAATAAATAAAATAATTTTACCTTTTTTTTTTAACTGTTCACTGTGGCTGCTAAAAAATTTTAAATTCTATGTGTAGCCTACATTATATTTCCACTGGACAGCAGTACTCTACACAAATGGGCTTTGGTCCGAGATCAGGGGCCCATGTGACTGGGATAGGTTCTACATCTGCCCTTCGGCCAAATTCCATAGCTGTAACTGATCTTTTGGAGAGGTAGAGTGGGCTTGGCCTTTGTGATTCACCCCTTTCCTCCCAAAGAGCCCCCTGAAATCCTACCTTTCAAAGTCATCATTTTGAGTTAATAAGAATTTTTCAAAATGCAGGTACCCTGAAATTAAGCACCTAACACCTAGACTAAACATTCTGGGATCCCAGGATGCCTCCATGAGAGAGGAGGGGCCTCCAGAGAGGACTGCGGGAGATAGAAAGACAGAAGTCTTGTCCAGCTAGCTGCCTTACTCCTCCATTTTGTGGTCAGCAATCTGGCTTTGAGACCACCTGCCTCTTAACAGGTTGACCTCTGCCCTTCCTAAGTATTTGCTTTCTTCTTACCCTCCTTGTCCTTAGGAAATGGGACAGTTTTGGAAGAGCCATATCAAAAGTTCTGGGTTTGTTTTTTCCTTTCCTCTGTCATACCAGTTCTGAGCGGTTTGACTGACCTTCCTAGGAAGCCTGGCTTCCTTTTGAAATACACAAACAAAGCTCTTATACTGTATGTAAAGGGACCCTGGGTGGCTAAATGCATTAAGATGTGGGGTGTATGGAGCAGAATTTGTTCTGCAGCTTGGGATGCTTCAGACGTTTTTTAAGGCAAGAAATGACTCTGAGTTGTGTGTGTTAGATATGGTCAGCTTACCATCTGGGCAGTGAGGGGACAGTGCAGTTCCTTAGGGGTCTCAGTGAATGACTCTTGGGCAGGCTCCTTACCCCGACGCTCTTTCCACCTAGAGACTTTGTCTTCGTGTCTAGCGATGGAAACCCTTTGCCAGGATTCGTTGGATGCCTTCTGTGTGCTTAGCATTAAATGAAAAATGAGTGGGGACTCTCCAAGTTGGGATTTAGGGACCAAGATGAGTTTGCCTCTTGTGGAGGCTTCTTGTACTCGTAGACTTGCAGTGCCTGGGAGCTTTTGTTTTTGTTTTGTTTTCTCTTCTAGGCTTTTATAAATTGGAAAGAGGCTAAATTGACTTGGAGTTTTTTCAAACAGTCTTTCTTGAAGCAGATTTTGACAGAAGGTAAGTAAAAGGTCACCCTGAGCAGTCAGGACACCACAGTATAAGTGAGGGGATTCCACAGAACTGCGGATTACCTATACCCAGACTTCCTGCTTTCTAGAGCCCCTGTGGGCAGAGGAACCCTAGAAATGGAAGCTTTTAAAATAGGGAGAGAGAAACTAACATTGATTTAGTTTGATAATGAGGGACAGTGCTGTTGTATAACTTCTATGGGGTCCTAAGTAATGAGGAACAACTTACCTTGAATCCAAGTCTAATTCCCAAACCCCATGTTTTATCATTTAAAGAAATGTATTATGAAGTTTTATATCGATTTGAAAAAATTTGGAAAATAGAGAAAATGATCCATAATCTCATTATCCTATTCTAACTTTTTGTACACCTCTTTTTTTGAACATAACTTTTAACAACTGGGTTTTCATCATTTTATTTTGTTAAATAATAAGATTCATCTGTGTGATATTTTGGCCAGACTTCCAATTTCTTAAAGCTTTCCAGTTTAACAGTGACAGAGCTCTCTATACAGAGGGCTGGCATGGAACTGAAAGTACATCTAGTTTTTCTGCGTATGTGTATTGGTTTATTTATGCCCAGCTTTAATTCAAAGAATGAGATTTGAGGTAGCTAGAAGTGGGTAAAGGTAGTGGTTTCTCTCTAAATTTCATATGTCTATACATCCATATATCTATCACTGAACATATTTTTAAATCTTTTCAAAAATTGTCTTTTTTTTTTTTTTTTTTAAGAGAGCGAGGGGGAACGTGGTGTGCATGAGCTGCAGGGCAGGGGCAGAGGGAGGGAAAGAGAGATTCTTAAGCAGGCTCCACCCCAGCACAGAGCCAGATGCAGTGCTCAATCTCATGTCCCTGAGACCATGAGCTGAGCCAAAATGAGGTGTCAGTCATTTAACTGATTGAGCCATCCAGGCACCCCTCAAACATTGCCTTTTATTTTTTTATTTTTATTTTTTTAAGATTTTATTTATTTATTTGACAGAGAGAGAGAGCGCGAGCAGGGGGAGCAGCTGGCAGAGGGAGAGGGAAAAGCAGGCTCCCCGCTGAGCAGGGAGCCTGATGCGGGGTCCATCCCAGGACCCTGGGATCATGACCTGAGCCAAAGGCAGATACTTCACCGAGCCACCCAGGCATCCCAAACATTGCCTTTTAATTATAAAAATAGTATAACCTCATTACAAAAATTTTGGAAAATAGAAAAAAGTTCCCTACAATTCTAGCATTCTAATACAACCATCATTATTACCTTATTATTTCCCTTTTCCCCTCTCTGTCTTTATTTTTTGTTAATTATGCTTCCAAAGGGGAGTAACTCCCCTAAGCCTCACTTGCCCCGTCTGTGAGTTAAGGGATAGGACCAGGAGGGGTCTGAGGGTCTTGAGCCTTGAGCCTTGAGAGTGCTTAGTTCTAGCCTGAGCCTGTAACATTGCCATTACAAAAGTGGAACTTGTTTACAGGACCCCTGGGGGAAGTAAGGGTCACAAGCCTTTGGAGAGCTGAGTGAAGGTGCCTTAATGACATGTTTCTTGGGAGCGGGATGTGCAGTTTACCACTGTTTCCCCACTACCCTGCTGGAACTGGCACATGATTGGTGTTCAACAAGTATCTTTTGATAAAGAAAGGTATCTGTAGTGAAATTGTATATTGTGATAGTTCACATTGTTAGAACAGGAAAACCAGTAGAGGGAACTTGGGAAGGGCATTTGCTTCATGCACTTTCTTTTCTTCCCAAAGTTTTAAGAGCAGTTTAAATGAGTTGAGGAATGGATCCAGTCCAAGCAATGGCCCTAAATTGGTTGTTTGGACCACAGTGGCTAGACTGCAGCAAGTGTAAGTGGGCCAGGCCTCAATGTGGTGCCGGTTGCTCGCTCTCTCCATGGCTGGACCACCCTGGCCTGACTGGCAGAGGGCTGTTAAGAACCTCTGAGGGCTTCCATCTCCGTCGTTGTGAAATAAGGAAGTGACTGGACAAGAACCCCCCACCCCCAAATTCTTTTTATCTAAAAATCACAACTCTAAAAAAAGTTGAAATCATTCATTGTAATAGCAAAAATATAGATGCTGTTACCTTCTGCCCCCACATTTCCTGAACACTGTGTGCCAGGTGCTGAGAATACACAGATGAATGAGTTACAGGCCACAGCCTCAAGGAGCTCATTCTCTTACCCAAGACGCAGACTTTTGTGTGGTTAGATCTGAATCAGGACTGTGAGAGCTGTACTTGGAAACATTAGCGTCTCTCAAGTGCCCTTGCATTTCCTGGAGCTCTGCTAGGAAACCAGGGCCAGAGAAATGAGGGAGATGTGGTTCCTGCCCCCAGGGAGCTTACAGAGTGTGGGAAGAGAGGCCGATTGTACCAGAGCACAGGGAGGTCCCTACGGAGAAGCCAGTCTAGGTGGCTAGCATGCTTAGAGCTGAGGCTGGGAGCAGGAGGGGCCCAGCCTGAAGCAGAGCAGCTGGAGGGGCTAAAACCTGATCGGGTAAAGCAAAGGATGACAATATAATGCTGGGAGGTGTAGATGAGGTTGGTGAAGAAAGGCCAAAAAGATAGCCTGGGGTCAACTTATAAAAGGCCTCAAATGCAGAATTAAGGAGCCTGGACTTTTTGCAAACAGCAAAGAGCAATTTAAAGGTGTGGAAGCAGGGGTTGCCTTAAGATTTGTATTGCTGAAGCCAGGACTGTTAGCAGTGAGGATGGATCAGAGCAGTGCAGAGATGCAGATAAGAGTGAGTGCTGTCCTGTGGGCCACGCCTGGGAGGGCCTGCAGAGGCCCCTGCCACAGACGCAGTCTGGGAGAGTGCAGGGAGGCCAGGACCAAATATTGCTTTCCTTTTTGAGCAGGTTGCTAGGAGGTGAAACTTTGCCCTTTAGGGCTGTGGTCACTGCAGAGCTCTGTCTCCATGGTGGGTTGTGTTTTCCACTGACAGATAATGAAATGTATGGAAGGTGGGGGTGGGGCTCTGGGTTGGTGTCTTCACCTTGAAGGCATTAGCCTGTCTTATATTTGAATCATGATCTTGGGCTCCAGAGCCTTTCCAGCCTCCATGGAGCTTTCTCCACCCAGGGAGACAACTTGATGAGTCTGTGCACATGACCATGGACCTCTCATTTCACAGAACTTACATTTAAAATTTGGGACAATCATTTTCATTATTAACATTTTTGTAATCCCCTCCCTTTTTAAGTTATTAGACTGGTTTTATTGATTTTGTTTTGTTTTTAATTTAACTGGTTTGGAGATTTGCTGTCAATAAATCCCCCAGCACTTTCCCAATTGTTACTGTTTTGAGATTATTTGAAATCAACATTAGGACAAGGAAGGTATCTTTAATTGATTATGTAGTTTTTCTCCTTTGAGAGTATCTGCCAGCTAGAGAGTTGATAGACGATAAGAAAAAAGGAAACGAGAGAATAATGTGCCCTTGAAATGCTAATTATTTTGCTTCTCTATTTGTAGGCGAGCGATACGTAATGACGTTTTTGAACGTGTTAAATTTTGGCGATCAGGGTAAGATGAAAATTCTGTAGTGAATACCATTAGTAGATACTTTCTAATATTTTTCTCAGCAGTGTGATACATTTAGTGAAAAATACGCCTGATGATTCTAAAAGATGAAGACTGTAATAAAATGATTCCTGAAGATTGAAAATTGCAGGTCTCTGCAAATATCTACAGTGTTCTGACTACGCCCTCTCATGTGACTCGGGTGGCAGGTTCTCTTTTGAGTTCCCCTGGTTTCTGCAGAGCTTTGGTGCCCATTGCAGGGTTGAGAGAAGAGGGAGCTTCGTCATCACAATCACAGATCCGCCCTGTGTTTGTGCAGCTAGATAGGTCTCAGTATTTTCTTCTTATTTATTTATTTAAGATTTTTTAAAATTTATTTATTTGAGAGCACAAGCGGTGGCTGGGCAGAGGGAAAGGGAGGGAGAGAGAGAATCCTCAAGCAGACTCAATCTGAGCACAGGGTTGATCCCAGGACCCTCAGATTATGACCTGAGCAGAAGTCAGATGCTTAACCAACTGAGCCACCCAGGAGCCCCTCTTCATATTTATTTTTAACTGTAATCCTGCAGTAGAGGAAAGAAAACTTTCAAAAATCAACTTGGTATTAATGGGTTTTTTTAAGATTTAGTTATTTATTTGAGAGAGAGAGTGAGGGGAGGGGCAGAGGGAGAGAATCTTCAAGCTAACTACCTGCTGAGCATGGAGCCCGATGTAGGGCTCGATCCCAGGACCCTGAGATCATGACCTGAGCCGAAACTAAGAGTTGGACACTCAACTGACTGAGCCACCCAGGTGCCCGGCATTAATGATTTTTTTTTTTTTTTAAGATTTTATTTATTTGACAGAGATAGAGAGAGGGAGAGCACAAGCAGGTGGAGTGGCAGGCAGAGGGAGAGGGAGAAGCAGGCTCCCCGCTGAGGAAGGAGCCCGATGTGGGACTCGATCCCAGGACCCTGGGATCATGACCTGAGCCAAAGGCAGCCGCTTAACCGACTGAGCCACCCAGGCACCCCTGATTTTTTTTTTTTTTTAACTAATAACCTTTTTTTTTTTTTTAGCACACTTTTAGGTTCATAGCAAAATTGAGTGAAAAGTACAGAGTTCTCATACATCTCCCTGACCCCACACATTCACAACCTCCCCAATTATCAATATTCTGCACCAAGTTGTACACTTGTTACAACTGGTGAACCTACATTGACTCATCATTATCACCCAAAGTCTATAGTTTACATTAGGTTTCACTCTTGGTATTGTACATTCTATGAGTTTTGACAAATATATAATGTATAATGACACATATCCACCAATATAGTATCATGCAAAATAGTTTCACTGACCTAAAAAGAATTTTTAGAGAATTAATGATTTTTATAAAAAGGTGCTGGTGATGGAAATATTCTGTATTTGACTGTATCAATGTCAGTATCCTAGCTGTGCTCACAAGATGTGACTGTTCAGGAAACTGGGTAACGGAGCTGTTATTTTTTAGAACTACATGTGAGTCTATAATGATCTCAAACAGTTTAAAAAATTAAATCAGAAAAAAATGTTAATGGTGCTGTGAAAATTCAAATAGAAAAAACCAGAAGGATTGTTGTTTCTTCCTTTTTGTCTTCTAGGTGTATACGATGTAGTGAATAATCTTGGCTCTCTTGTGGCCAGGTTAATTTTCCAGCCAATAGAGGAGAGTTTTTATATATTCTTTGCTAAGGTGCTGGAGAGAGGAAAGGATGCCACACTTCAGAAGCAGGTAGTCTTGGTTCTAATGTCACTATCTCTCAAGTGAATTTTCCAGTTGCAGGATAAACAGACTAAAATGTAGAGCAGTCGGTTTCCCTCTGTTTGAAATATCCTTCTAGGTCTTATTCTTCCATCACCTTCTGAATGATGGCAGGACTCTGAGCTCACTTCTTTCACAGCCTTCTCCCTTTGCCCTGGTTGGCCTTTCCCTTCTTACCCTTACTCCTTCTCTGTGACCTCATTCTTGACCCAGAACTCTCTGCAGCCAACCCCAGTGTGGCACAGACCCCCTTTCCATGGTCTAGGCTTAGCTGGAAGATTGAGATTGCCTCCTCCATCCTCAGATTCTCAAGAACCAAAGGTGAGCCGAAGGACGTAGGGGCTGGAGTAAGGCTTGCGTACAGCTTGGGGAGTAAAGGACATGGTCATTTGATTTCACTCACCACACCAGTTGTTTAAGCTTTTTAAAGATTGTGAAGTGCCCAGATGCACTCTGACCGTGAGAATCTACCTACTCTGATTGGCAAATGCAGAAGAGATTTTAATCCAGGCGTATTTGGTTGTAGAAACTTCCCTTTTTCTAAAACCATTGAAAATGTGTGACTTATCGGAGAATTAAAAGGAAGCTAAGTTGGCCTCTTACATGTCTTAGAAGATACTTTGCAAAATATAATTTATGCACAATATCTCAAAATGAACTAATCTGGTTCTCGGTTGGTTTAGGAATATTTTCCTAAGCATACTTCGACAGGAACATCAGGATTTGGAGACGTTTGTCAGGAGAAGCACTCTGACAAAGCTAGCTAGCTAGCAACGTAAAAGCTTGCTCTCTATTTTAAGAATAAATATCGGAGAGAAAGTGAGTGTTTCCTAAGCAGCCTTTGAAATAATGGATCCTAAATGAGCTAAAAACCACACCTCCCCTGCACTACCTAAGGAGGCACAGATTGGCTTTTCCCCTTCATTTCCTTCATGCTAATTGACATGAAAACAAACACAGGCTGCAGAAAAACGGGGATGCCTCTCAGCAGTTAAAAGAGTGATCTGTAAGACAGCAGAGAGAGAAGGCCAGATGTGAAGTTTTTCTTTAGCTCATGATTCATCCAACTTCCTTCCCTCTGCCCCCCGCCCCAGGAGGACATTGCCATGGCCGCTGCGGTTTTGGAGTCGCTGCTCAAGCTGGCCCTGCTGACCGGCCTAACCATCACCATTTTTGGCTTTGCCTATTCTCAGCTGGCTTTGGATATCTATGGAGGGGCCATGCTTAGCTCTGGATCAGGTATGCACAAGAGTTTTGCCAGATTTGTTCTAATTTCCGAACAGAAATAGAAGAGTCTTGTGAAATTCAAGAACTTGTGTGCACACAGGTTGGTATCTGTCAGTGTAGGGAGCACTGTCCATGGCTGGGGCTTCGAGACCGTTGCCCTCGCACGAGGTCAGAAACAGCTCAGTGCCGTCGGGGGGCTTTGGCACCAGGGCAGTCAGTCCCCCAGTCTCACTTGCAGAAGTCATTATTCATCCTTGGCTGTCCTCCCAGGCCTAAAATGTGTTTTGCTGGGCACTTCCCTGTGTACCCTCTGGGGTGAGGGAAGAAGGCAAAGAGCAGGCTCTACTGAGTCTCCGCTTGATACTAAACACATCTGAAGGTAGTAAATGCCACATAAATCTCACAGCCTGATGCATGAGCCTCTGAAGGATAACTCAGAGCCATTTGCAGAGAACAAAATGGATCTCGGCAAGCAGAACGGTATATTTAATCCAGTGACTCTTGGTTTTTGAAGGACAAAAACATTGAGTGTATCTAACTTGGAAACACCTGGTGCCATGCCACTGAACATCTCATAGCACTTGCCAGGCCCTGGGGACTTGACCAGTTTCAAAATGTGCTGGGCCTTAGGCTGGCAGTCCATTTGCAGTCCGTTTCATCTTGGGTTCGGCAAAGATTTTTCAGTTCCTCGGGTCACTAGACAAGAACTCTGAAGACTTCTTTCTGCTGCTCCATCTCAATGTAAAGGGCTTTGTCAAAGGCCATTTTACAAGTTCACTGGCATGTTTTGGGCCCAAACTTTGGGTGTTAGGGGAGGAGGGGTGAAGTTTCTACCCAAGAGCAAAGGTCATTCAGTTTGGAGAAACCCCTGCTGTGAAAACCATGATGTGGTCGCAGCTGCCTGGGGCTGGTACTGTGAGGCCTGCTTTTCCATCAGGCAGGCGGGGAGGCTCATTAGGAAGCCGTTAGTAAGTCATGTGCAGAGACTGGGCATGCAACCATTTCACAGCAGCACGGCCCCTCTAGAAAGGTGATCGCCAAGGAACAGCCTGTATTGTCACGCAGTCACAGGACGTGGCCGTGAGAAGGCTGTCCCGTTAGCACAGTGTTCACCTGGTGGAGTACTTAGTCATAGAAGGTCTAGAAGCAGACTGCTGCGACTATGTCAGCCTTTGGTGCGAGTGAGAGGCTGGTGCCCGTTTTCAGTGTTGGTAGTAAGAGTTATCCGTTAAAAGGGTCAGTGGTAGTTGATTTCTAAGGTAGTAAATTCTGTTTCTAATGGCTTATTGTCAGACCCATTAATAATTTTAGAATCAACACGACGACGAGCACTGAGTAATGTATAGAATTGTTGAATCACTGTATTATATACCTGAAACTAATATAACCCTGTAAGAAGAATAAATAATTTTAGACTCAAAAAGATATTCTCTTGGTATCATCTTCTGAAAGAGGAGTCTTAAGAATGGTCTGGTTCCTCAGTCTCTGGCAAGAATGTGCTGTCTGGTGAGCCAGGACCACTGTCGTCTCTGTCTGGCCCAGGGCTCCATCAGTGTCACTGTCCCAACAGGGTCTTCTAGCATTTGTCTCCTCATTGTAGCTGCCTTACACTTTGAGCAAACTTCGAGCTCTCTGTAAAGCCCGTAGTGGCTCCTGGTAGTCCATCCCCCTTGGGCCCCTGCTGCTTTCCTTCCCTCGCCTCCACGCCACCCCGCGTCTCCTTGTCCTGCTCCTGACTCCTTGGACTAGTGCTGTGGATCCGAATACCTTTCCTGTGCCGGAATAGATGAACAGTGCTGCTCTCCCCTCCCTGCTAGTCTTCTTCATTTACTTAAACACTCCAAAAAACTTGGGGCGCCTGCATGGCTCAATCGATTAAGCTTCTGACTCTTGATTTTGGCTCAAGTCATGATCTCAGGGGTGGTGGGATTGAGCCCTGCATGGGGCTCTGCATTCAGCACAGAGTCTGCTTCAGATTCTCTCTCTCCCTCTCCCTCTGTCCTTCCCCTGACTTGTGTGTTCTCTTTTTCTCTAAATAAATAAATAAAATCTAAAAACAACAACAACAACAACACTCCACAAAACTTGACTGTCTCCAGCCTGAATTTAATCAGAAAAGAATGGCAACTTTCTGTGGCTCAACTGAACCACCTGAGTTTTGAAAGTGGAACTTGCAACACTGCTGCCTCAGTTGTCCCAGTTGTGTATCAGTCTTTGTCCTCACCTGGAAAGTAGACTTACCTGTGACCTGAACTGGCCTCTGACCCCCCCATCCCCTGTGCTGCCATCTCCATGTGTGGGACTTGGATGCAGCATCGGTGGGGGCCAACATCCTGGTTAAGATCTACAACATTTCCGGGCGCCTGGGTGGCTCAGTTGGTTAAGCGACTGCCTTCGGCTCAGGTCATGATCCTGGAGTCCCGAGGTCGAGTCCCGCATTGGGCTCCCTGCTCGGCGGGGAGTCTGCTTCTCCCTCTGGCCCTCCCCCCTCTCATTCTCTCTCTCAAATAAATAAATAAAATCTTAAAAAAAAAAAAGATCTACAACATTTCCATTACCCCAGAAGGTTCTTTCAGGACTCTTTCCAGTCAACTGCCCCGCCTCCACCTCAGAGGCAACCACTGTTCTGATTTCTATCACCATAGATTAGTATTGCTTTTATAATTTTTTTTAAAGATTTTATTTATCCATTTACTTGAGAGAGAGAGAGAGAGAGAGAGAGCGCGAGCATGAGCGGGGGAGGGGCAGAGGGAGAAGCCGACTCTGTGCTCAGCACAGAGCCCATCGTGGGGCTCGATCCCATGACCCCAAGATCATGATCTGAGCCAAAACCAAGAGTTAGACGCTTAAGCGACTAAGGTGCCCAGGCACCCCAGATTAGTATTGCTTTTATTTATTTTTTATTTTTTATTGTTATGTTAATCACCATACATTACATCATTAGTTTTTGATGTAGTGTTCCATGATTCATTGTTTGTGCATAACACCCAGTGCTCCATGCAGAACGTGCCCTCTTTAATACCCATCACCAGGCTAACCCATCCTCCCACCCCCCTCCCCTCTAGAACCCCCAGTTTGTTTTTCAGAGTCCATCATCTCTCATGGTTTGTCTCCCCTCCAATTTCCCCCCCTTCATTCTTCCACTCCTGCTATCTTCTTCTTTTTTCTTAACATATAATGTATTATTTGTTTCAGAGGTACAGATCTGTGATTCAACAGTCTTACACAATTCACAGCACTTACCAGAGCACATACCCTCCCCAGTGTCTATCACCCAGTCACCCCATCCCTCCAACCCCCCACCACTCCAGCAACCCTCAGTTTGTTTCCTGAGATTAAGAATTCCTCTTATCAGTGAGGTCATATGATACATGTCTTTCTCTGATTGACTTATTTCACTCAGCATAACACCCTCCAGTTCCATCCACATCGTTGGAAATGGCAAGATCTCATTCCTTTTGATGGCTGAATAATATTCCATTGTATATATATACCACATCTTCTTTATCCATTCATCTGTCGATGGACATCTTGGCTCTTTTCCACAGTTTGGCTATTGTGGACATTGCTGCTATAAACATCGGGGTGCACGTACCCCTTCAGATCCCTACATTTGTATCTTTGGGGTAAATACCCAGTAGTGCAATTGCTGGATCATATGGTAGCTCTATCTTCAACTGTTTTCCAGAGTGGTTGCACCAGCTTGCATTCCCACCAGCAGTGTAGGAGGGTTATCCTTTCTCTGCATCCCTGCCAACATCTGTCGTTTCCTGACTTGTTAATTTTAGCCATTTTGACTGGTGTGAGGTGGTATCTCATTGAGGTTTTGATTTGGATTTCCCTGATGCCGAGCGATGTTGAGCACTTTTTCATGTGTCTGTTGGCCATTTGGATGTCTTCTTTGGAAAAATGTCTGTTCATGTCTTCTGCCCATTTCTTGATTGGATTCTTTGTTCTTTGGGTGTTGAGTTTGATGAGTTCTTTATAGATTTTGAATACTAGCCCTTTATCTGATATGTCATTTGCAAATATCTTCTCCCATTCTGTCGGTTGTCTTTTGGTTTTGTTGACTGGTTTGTGACTTGATGAAGTCCCTATAGTTCATTTTTGCCCTTGCTTCCCTTGCCTTTGGCAATGTTTCTAGGAAGAAATTGCTGCAGCTGAGGTTGAAGAGGTTGCTGCCTGTGTTCTCCTTTAGGATTTTGATGGACTCCTGTCTCACATTGAGGTCTTTCAACCATTTTGAGTCTGTTTTTGTGTGAGGTGTAAGGAAATGGTCCAGTTTCATTCTTCTGCATGTGGCTGTCCAATTTTCCCAACGCCATTTGTTGAAGAGACTGTCTTTTTCCCATTGGACATTCTTTCCTGCTTTGTCAAAGATTAGTTGACCATAGAGTTGAGGGTCCATTTCTGGGCTCTTACTCTGTTCCATTGATCTATGTGTCTGTTTTTGTGCCAGTACCATACTGTCTTGATGATGACAGCGTTGTAATAGAGCTAGAAGTCCGGAATTGTGATGCCACCAGCTTTGCTTTTCTTTTTCAACATTCCTCTGGCTATTCGGGGTCTTTTCTGGTTCCATACAAATTTTAGGATTATTTGTTCCATTTCTTTGAAAAAAGTGGATGGTATTTTGATAGGGATTGCATTGAATGTGTAGATTGCCCTAGGTAGCATTGACATCTTCACAATATTTGTTCTTCCAATCCATGAGCATGGAACGTTTTTCCATTTCTTTGTGTCTTCCTCAATTTCTTTCATGAGTATTTTATAGTTTTCTGAGTACAAATCCTTTGCCTCTTTGGTTAGATTTATTCCTAGGTATCTTATGGTTTTGGGTGCAATTGTAAATGGGATCGACTCCTTAATTTCTCTTTCTTCTGTCTTGTTGTTGGTGTATAGGAATGCCACTGATTTCTGTGCATGGATTTTATATCCTGCCACCTTACTGAATTCCTGTATGAGTTCTAGCAGTTTTGGGGTGGAGTCTTTTGGGTTTTCCACATAAAGTATCATATCATCTGCAAAGAGTGAGAGTTTGACTTCTTCTATGCCGATTTGGATGCCTTTTATTTCTTTTTGTTGTGTGATTGCTGTGGCTAGGACTTCTAATACTATGTTGAATAGCAGTGGTGATAGTGGACATCCCTGCCATGTTCCTGACCTTAGGGGGAAAGCTCTCAGTTTTTCCCCATTGAGAATGATATTCGCTGTAGGTTTTTCATAGATGGCTTTTATGATATTGAGGTATGTACCCTCTATGCCTATACTCTGAAGAGTTTTGATCAAGAAAGGATGCTGTACTTTGTCAAATGCTTTTTCTGCATCTATTGAGAGGATTATATGATTCTTGTTCTTTCTTTTGTTAATGTATTGTATCACGTTGATTGATTTGTGGATGTTGAACCAACCTTGCAGCCCAGGGATAAATCCCACTTGGTCGTGGTGAATAATCCTTTTAATGTACTGTTGGATCCTATTGGCTAGTATTTTGGTGAGAATTTTTGCATCCATGTTCATCAAGGATGTTGGTCTGTAATTCTCCTTTTTGATGGGGTCTTTGTTTGGTTTGGGGATCAAGGTAATGGTGGTCTCATAAAATGAGTTTGGAAGTTTTCCTTCCATTTCTATTTTTTGGAACAGTTTCAGAAGAATAGGTATTAATTCATCTTTAAATGTTTGGTAGAATTCCCCTGGGAAGCCATCTGGCCCTGGGCTTTTGTTTGTTGGGAGATTTTTGATGACTGCTTCAATTTCCTTAGTGGTTATAGGTCTGTTCAGGTTTTCTGTTTCTTCCTGGTTCAGTTTTGGTAGTTGATACATCTCTAGGAATGCATCCATTTCTTCCAGGTTATCTAATTTGCTGGCATAGAGTTGCTCATAATATGTTCTAATAATTGTTTGTATTTCTTTGATGTTGGTTGTGATCTCTCCTCTTTCATTCATGATTTTGTTGATTTGGGTCATTTCTCTTTTCTTTTTGATAAGTCTGGCCAGGGCTTTATCAATCTTGTTAATTCTTTCAAAGAACCAGCTCCTAGTTTCGTTGATCTGTTCTACTGTTCTTTTGGTTTCTATTTCATTGATTTCTGCTCTGATCTTTATTATTTCTCTTCTCCTGCTGGGTTTAGGCTTTATTTGCTGTTCTTTCTCCAGCTCCTTTAGGTGTAGGGTTAGGTTGTGTACTTGAGAACTTTCTTGTTTCTTGAGAAAGGCTTGTATTGCTATATACTTGCCTCTTAGGACTGCTTTTGCTGCATCCCAAAGATTTTGAACAGTTGTGTTTTCATTTTCATTGGTTTCCATGAATTTTTTTAATTCTTCTTTAATTTCCTGGTTGACCCATTCATTCTTTAGTAGTATGCTCTTTAGCCTCCATGTATTTGAGTTCTTTCCGACTTTCCTCTTGTGATTGAGTTCTAGTTTCAAAGCATTGTGGTCTGAAAATAGGCAGGGAATGATCCCAATCTTTTGGTACCGGTTGAGACCTGATTTATGACCTAGGATGTGATCTATTCTGGAGAATGTTCCATGGGCACTAGAGAAGAATGTGTATTCCGTTGCTTTGGGATGGAATGTTCTGAATATGTCTGTGAAGTCCATTTGGTCTAGTGTGTCATTTAAAATCTTTATTTCCTTGTTGATCTTTTGCTTAGACGATCTGTCCATTTCAGTGAGGGGGGTGTTAAAGTCCCCCACTATTATTGTATTGTTGTCAATGTGTTTCTTTGCTTTTTAGTATTGCTTTTAAAAGGGACTTCATGGGGCGCCTGGGTGGCTCAGTTGGTTGAGCGACTGCCTTCGGCTCAGGTCATGATCCTGGAGTCCCAGGATCGAGTCCCGCATCGGGCTCCCTGCTCGGCGGGGAGTCTGCTTCTCCCTCTGACCCTCCTCCCTCTCATGCTCTCTGTATCTCATTCTGTCTCAAATAAATAAATAAAATCTTTAAAAAAATAAATAAATAAAAAATAAAAAAAAAATAAAAGGGACTTCATATCAATGAAATCATACAGCATGGACACTTTGGTGTTTGGCTTCTTTCTCTCAATATACAGTTTTTGGGATTCATCCATGTTTTTACATGGATCAGTACTTTTTTTCTCTTGGATTGCTTCTCTGAGAAATTTCTTTATATGGATGCCCACAGTTTGTTTATCCTTTCTCTTATTGATGGTCAGTTTGGACTATTATGAGTAAAACTGCTATGGGCATTTTTGTACAAATGCTTATGTGAACATGTACATTTATTTCTGTTGAATGTATATTTAGGAGTGGGATTGCTGGGTCATAGGTTGTTTTATTAGAAGTTGCTTGCTTGGCTACCTCTTGGTAATGGCCCTCCTAAAAGAGGAGTTCAATTCCATTTTTAAGGCTCCCAGTCTTTTGTTAGCAGATTTTTCCAAAGCTTATTAGTTAGCTATAGGACTGCATCACTATGTTTTAGAAGAAAACATCATGGTTATTCTGATTCTCTCTGCAGATTTGTGGGTATGTTCTGTCTGTAGTTTCTTGCTGCTCCCAAGTCCTGGGCTTCTCCCCATGGTCTTGTCCTCAGGACCTCTTCAGCCGAGTTCTTCAGCCGAGTTCTCTTACCATGCAAGGCCACTAGTGCCGTTGAGTGCTCAAACCAGCAGATCTCTTTATGCTGATTTAAAAAGCAAGAAGATTTGCTTCCTGGCCAGATAAGCTTTTAGTTGTTAAGTGAGACATTTGTAGGTTTATTCCTTTTTTTTTTTAAGATTTTATTTATTTATTTAAGAGAGAGAGAGAGCACTTAAGTGGGGGAGGGAGAGAGACAAACAGATTCCACGCTGAGCAGGGAGCCCAAAGCAGGGCTCAATCCCGAGACCCCAAGATCATGACTTGAGCCAAAACCAAGAGTCGGACGCTAAGCTAACTGAGCCACCCAGGTGCCCCTGTAGGTTTATTCTTAACTGCCCTTTCTTTTTTAGCTGTTTATTTTAATCAGTGCCATGGAGTACTGGAAGTCCTTCCAGATAATTAAGGCCATAGGCTCAAGTGTGTGTCTGCCTGTTGACAACACCAGCTGGACTCCTGACCCAGTTCTGGTACATGCAGGCCTCCTGTTTGGGCTCTAGAGTCTCGGTCGGTTGTTTCCTTTTAGGTCCTGTTTTGCTGCGTTCCTACTGTCTCTACGTCCTCCTGCTTGCCGTCAACGGAGTGACCGAGTGTTTCACATTTGCTGCCATGAGCAAAGAGGAGGTCGACAGGTAGGTAACCGTAAAATCCCGCCTTTAATCCCAGCCTTCGGCCAAACTGAAGTAACTTGCCAATCTTCTTTCTTTTCCTGCTGAACGCGCATTCCCAGAAAGCCTTTTAGAGGTAGCACTCCCCCACTACTGTGGCACCGTCCCTGGTACTCCGGTGCTTGTCTTCCCCACATCCTGGGGGCAGCAACCACCCTTTGCCTCCCTTTGGAGGAGGTAGAAACCCGGGCCCTGAAGGGCCTTGTTAGTCTAAGTTTGCAGAGACAGGCCCAAGACAAGCTCCCCTCCTCCACCTCCTTGCCCAGCGCCCCAGTGGGTTACCGTGGAACTTCTTCAAGATGCAGAGTCCTACCCCCGAGACTCTGATTCAGAGGCCCCAGAGAGGCTCAGGCGTCTTTGTCACCTCTCCTGAGAGAAAGGCCCAAGTGCACATACATGTTTTGCCACCATTTTTTCCCATCCGTTGACCCCAGATCAGGACCTCTGCCCTGATACCTCAAACGGTGGTTCCTAACACCAGTTATCAGTCACAATCCCCCATGGAGCCTGTTAGATGTGCAGATTCCTGTCTGCCCTTCCTCCACCACTCTCTCCTAGCACACCTACAGACCGCAGCCCCCAAGCATGTGTGTGTGTTTTTAAAAGCTCCTCAGTGATTCTGACACGAACTAGTTTAGAGCTTCCAACCGACACCCAGGGCGTGTCCCAAATGCCAGAAGAAACATGGCAGTATGCTAAGGCACCGCTACCAGATGAGGCTGAGGAGAAGGATAAAATGGACGGGGGGAAAGGAGAGGAAGAGAAGGCAAAGACAGTAGAGGGGTGGCTGTAGGTAATGGGGTAAGTGGTCCTTGTTATTGCTTTGCTCCCTCACGCCTGGGTCCTTTGGGGGCTTTTGTGTTGTCTCTGAAAGGCCTTGAGTGCCCAGACCAACTGAACTAGCATTTGAGAGGCTTGGGCCAAGGGATCTGTCATCACACAGCCCCAGGAGATTTCTGATGATAGGGCCTTAGGAACCGCTGCCCCAGACCAGCTTATAAGTAAAACTACATGGAGCCCTGTGACGCTGTACATATTCAGGTGGGCGTGACCGAGCAAAGCTTTCACGAAGCAGGAAATACCCCCCGTTATGCGCAAGACACACTGATGGTTTTTAATTCTGTTATATTTCATTTTTCAAACTGCCATGTCATGACCCTCTCAGTTGATTTCCCCACCTACTTTTAGCTCACAGCCCATAATTTTCAAATATTGGTGCAGATAGGGTTTTTACTTCAGATAGTTAAATGTATAGGTGTAAAACTACTTGGAGGCCATCCTCCCTACCCCTTATCTTTTTCATGGATGCAAAGGTTGAATTTAAGTTTGATTTTGAGATAATGTGTTTTTTTTGAAAGGTGCTTCAAACATGAAATAATTTTTAGATATAATGTAAAACATATTAAAGGAGGCACTGAGCCGTGGTGGAAAGAGCTCTGGACTAGGAATCTATTGAAGGAAATTTTGTTGTAATCATTTCAGCATTAGTGTGGAGGGGGAGAATCGGCATTAAGCCTGCTTAAAAATGTTAAAATGGATCTTACAATCAAATCATGAGGGAACACAGTGACTAGTTGCTTTCTTTCCTTTTACATAGCATTGAACAAAAAGAAACAACTTTTTAAGTTAGTTGTAGTGGGATTTTGATGGTATATAAACATCTGGAAAATTATTTTCATGGTATGAGTAGTCAACATAGAGAAAAGACAGAACCAGAGCGCCTTCTAACGCAGTTCTTATCTGCAGTAACGCACTTCCCCGAAGAGTTAAATGTGACTTTAAGCATGGTCTTCCTACATGTATTAACCATAGCAGCCCAGGTTCCGCCCTGGTCTGAGCACATGGCCCCTGGGCTCATCACAGACTCCAGCAGTTTCTCATCTCTGTGAATTTAACCAGACATAAAACTCTAGTAAGGATTTTTATGGTAGGATTGGGTAGCTTTGTTAAATGTCATGATTGATTTACATTGGACCTTTCAGATTCTGAATTGAAAAAAAATACCGTATTGATAAAATCTTAACTTGATAAAATTGATAAAATCTACTTAACTTCAGGTCAATCAGTGTTTCTCTAAATAAAAATAGGGCATTTGGTTGGATGTGAAATATTAGAATATCCTTTGGGACGCCTGGGTGGCTCAGTCAGATAAGCGTCTGCTTTCAGCTTGGGTCATGATCCCAGGGTCCTGGGATCGAGCCCCATATTGGGCTCTCTGCTCAGTGGGGGGCCTTCTTCTCCCTCTCCCTCTGCCTGCCGCTCCCCCTGCTTGTGCTCTCTCTCTCTCTCTGTCAAATAAATAAATAAAATCTTAAAAAAAAATAGAACATCCTTTGAATTCCAAGTTGCTTTTTTGTTAATAACTGCATAATATATATTGAATATGATTGATGGATTTTTCAATCTGCCCTATTGAAGAATTTTTGTTCTGTTTTGTTAAGGATATCTCAGTTTCTTTTGTTCATTTGACAAGTGCTTTTTGAGCCTCTACTCTCTACCAGGCATCATTTTAAGTTCCAGGAATATAGCAGTAAAAAGAGACGGGATCCCTGCTTTCCTAGAGCTGACAGTGGGGGAGGCAGATGGCAAACAAGTAAATAAATAGGGAAATATTGCGCAGTACGGATAACTAAAACAGGGTAATGCCGTGAGAGTGGGGCTCTTTTAGATTGGGAGGCCCCTCTGAGAAGGTGGCATTTAGGCTGAGGCTGGATGACCAAGCAGAGTCTGTCTGGCACAGAGGTCAGTGACGCAAAAGCCTAAGACCGTCTGATTTGTTGGCCCATGAATGTCCACCTTGGAGCTGGACTCCGTAACTATCGAGTGAAGGATGAGTGCGATCTCCCCACATTGGCGATGAGAGACTGGCGCCATCCCTTCCGTGGCTGCCGAGGCTACACTGATGGCCGTGCCTTGCTGTATTCAACCAGCACCCACTGGGGGGCACTTCAGTTGCTGCCACAGTCAACGTCCTTGACCGGCCATCTTTTGATAAGCCTAATTTTAAGCCCAGTATCTTCTTGGGGCCATGGAAAAACTAAGCATTCATAAATAACTGTTTATGTTAACCAAGCCTTGTAGAATAGTCATTATTGTCACTAATTTTGCATTGATTTTAAAAGTGGCATTTTTTTTTTTTTTTTTTTTAGTATAATGAGATACACAAAATATATATGGCTTAGGATCTCTTTCTGAGTGGAAATAATTTAGGTCTCAAGATGTTTTGAGCCTGCTATGTTTTCTGGAAATCATTTAACTGAGCTTAAGACCCCTGAAAAAAAAAATACAAAAACTGGTTCAAGGAAACCAGCAATTAGATTTTGAAATCAAACTGTGGGTTAAGTCAGTAAAGTTAGAATTGGGGCAGTTCCTCTTTTGTGTTGCCCACACTCAAATTCGCCCTGGGAAGCAGAAACCTCGTCTACTGGAAGACAGGATGGAAACACAGTGTGGTGCTATGCTTGACATCAAAGTGGGCACCATTGATGGGCTGGCAAGTTTATGGTGCAATGGTAAGGATTTTGAGGGGTTTGAACAGCAATGAGAAAAGTGTTGACAACACATAAGGTTAGATCAGAAACTATAAACTGGTATTGACACCAACTACATGATTTTTCTCAGTAGCCTGTAGGAATGGATAAGATGAGTTCACCCAAGATGACTTAAGACTTGGAATGAGCAATGGTGTACTTTTAAATAAAGCCAACCATATTTTTTCCCCTAAGGTGGCTAGTGGTTTCATAATGATCATGGACACCACAGATAAAGCATTTAAAATTCTGATCAAAGCCAACTTTAATTTTTTATCCTTACACTTAAAAGGTTATCTGATGGCCACCGGTTTCTCAATCCTAACATTAGTTACTAGCTTACGAGGTAAATTCTTCTCCTTTACCTAATGTTCAGTTTCCATCAGTTTTAACATACACCAGTATAAATACCATTACAGACTACTTTGTATGAAATTCAGTATTCTACAGATCCCATGAAGTTGTGGGATAGAACCAGGAACCTCCATCTTTTATGCAAACTTCAGTGTACTGTGGAGACCAAGGCAATTTTGCTTAGCTTTATTTATTTATTTTCATTTGTAAGAGAACCCTCTTGCAACAGGTTTATTCAATTTAAAAAGTGGTATTTTAATTGCGTCTTTAAATTTCTTTTTTTCCTGAAGTCGATTTGCTTTTAAGGCTCTAGATTTGTGAGTTCTGGAAAGTTCAAGAGCTGCAGAGCCCTATTCTAGTGAAAAACGGTGGACCCCTATCATTATCAGCTCTTCCCAGATGGCCACACCAAAGAAGCCACACTGTTGAATTAGCATGAATTAGCTACTGATTTCATTTGTTATTGATGTTTTACTTGGAGTTGGGTGAGGATGACTTTGAAAGTTTGTGAACCTATAACCTCAATTCCAAGGATTTGAGAGAGTTTCTGGGGGGAAAAACGATCATACATCTCTACTTCTTTTTGGAAAGGAGGTCAGATAACTAACTGGTCTGTGATGGTCCCCACCCTCAGTGGCTGGTTGTGAAGTTGGCTCTTCTGATCATTGGTCAGTAGTTAGTGAAAAGCACACCTCCCCTGTTGGAGGATAGTGTGTGCGTGTGTAGTATTATTATTATCACCCCCTCTGATAAAGTTTATCTCCAAGGCACCTTGGACTTGGTCAGCCCAAGGACCAGTACCTGGGCATTCAGCAGACACATGGCTTTCCTACCACCCCTTGTTTGCAGAACCTGAGTGGCCTCCCTAACCCAGCAGACAGGGCTGGGGGACCTAACCGTTTGGTTCCCTCAACAACTATGTACTTAGAATGCCTGCTGCTCACTAGGCAGAAACCAGATGCTGGAAAATTTTGTTCGTGGCTGTACCACAAGCCTTTTGGTGAGGACTATAGCAGCTATTTTGTCTTTGCTGAGACTCAGTTTCCCTTGCTGAGAACTGAAGTTAACTAAGCTAAGTGGAAGGGCAGCGTAATCCATGCAATGAGGAATCCAGAGGGCTCTGGGGACGTGGAGAGCAGAGGGAAGGATGTATAAGAGTCTGGGGGACACTGACGTGGTTCAGGGCTTGCTCCCCATGTGCATGTGATTTTGAAGGCTCGTTACTTTAAGTGAAATCCACTGGCCAAGGTTATGGGGCTTCTGCATTTCCCTAAGTTTAGGGACCAGAGTGAGGTCACTCCTTAGGCAAATTACTCAGCCTACCTGTGCCTGGTTTTCCTTGTCTGTAAAACACATCCAGACCTCACAGGGCAAGGGCCACGTGTGTTCACTCATCATTGTATGCCTGTGACCCTGACCATGGCTGTCGCATAGTTTGCATTCACATATAATTATTACCCGTGTCATATTGCTGTGCCTCACATTGAAGACTTGGGCTGAACAGGATTTTTATGTGTTTGGATCACAAAGTGTCACTTAAACTAACCAGTTATGCTTAAAAACCATAATATTTTGAGTTCATTTCCTCACTCTTCTGTTCAGGGGGGAAGGGGGATGGTGACATTCCCATGTCATCCATATGGAGTTCACAGCTAAGAAAACCAGCTGGGTTATGGCAACTCAGAGGTGCTTTCTGTGATTCCATGTTCACGGTCACTTGTTTTGGAGCAGGCTTGTTTGAGACAAGGTACCCACTCCCCTGCTTTGCTTGTCTCCCTCTCCCCAGGTACAATTTCACAATGCTGGCCCTCTCGTCTTCATTCCTGGTGTTATCCTACCTCCTGACTCGATGGTGCGGCAGCGTGGGCTTCATCTTGGCCAACTGCTTTAACATGGGCATTCGCATCACACAGAGCCTTTGCTTCATCCACCGCTACTATGAAAGGAGCCCGCACAGGCCCCTGGCGGGCCTGTACCTATCACCCGCCCTCCTCGGGGCATTCGCCCTCAGTGGTGGGATTACTGGTGTTTCCGAGGTGAGACTCCCCGCAGCCCTCACACCACATGCTTTTGCAGGCTGTCCACTGTCCCTGGCTCTGGGCTTCCCTTCCTGCTCTTCCTGAACCAGCTGGGCAAGTGTCTGCCTCCCCTTCCCCCTTCCGCAAGGCTCAAGGACAGCATGTGATGATAGGTGTGGCCAAACAGTGTCACCAGTGGGAACAGAGTTAGCCCCTCAGTACGCAGCTGTCACACCTTTTATCTGACTCCAAGCTGGCACAGCATGGCCTCGCTCCCCCTGGCTTGCCCCCGAGGTAGGAGGTACAGGTGGAGGGGCCAGGGCAGTGACGGTGGGTTCTCTCGCAGGTGTTCCTCTGCTGTGAACAGGGCTGGCCAGCCAGGCTGGCGCACGTCGCCGTGGGGGCCTTCTGTTTGGGAATGACTCTTGGGACAGCGTTCCTCACGGAGACCAAGCTGATCTGTTTTGTGAGGACTCAGTTAGGTGTGTCCAGACTGGCTGACAAAACCTCGTGACCTCAGAGGCATTGGCACCTGTGACACGTGGACCAGCTGTGGGGCGGGTTTGTGGGCGGATCTCATGAGCTGTGCAGGAGAGCCCTGCTGAGGGGTCTGCAGCGGGGGAGGACCGATGCCGGCAGGCGAGACGTCGGAGAGAACTGCCAGCCCAAACACCATCCCTTTGAAGCCTCAAACAAACAGGAAGGAGGAGTTCCACTTTTAAGGGAAGACCAACAGCTCTTTTAAAATGGATACCTTATTTTTGTCACCATTTTGTTCTCATCAACATTTTTCTTTTTGGTTAATGTGTTCCTTTTGGGCGTGATTGACCTAAGGAGCTCTGTAAGCCAACCAGCTATATCTTGGATGAAATAGTTAACAATGATCTGGCCCAGAAAGAGAGATGTGGCCATATTACATGTCGCAGGAATATGTCACTTACTCTGTAAAAGCAGGAAGGAGACCTGGTGTGCACCGGATGAGACCAGAGGTGGCCCAGGAGTTGTGGCTTCTCCCATGCAAACACTGTGGTTGGGGTTTTTAGAGAGGGAACGACATTTCTCAATGAGAAGTCCAGGAAATGGAAATGCGGAGTCTTGTGGGTCACATTTCCCAGAGTTAGCTGGGGGGAGTCATACCCCTCATCGTCATTGCTGCATGCCCCGGACCACCTTCCCAGTGCCAGTGCAGGCTGGTGTGAGACCGCTGGCCCAGCCACCTGAACGAGAAGGCTCTGAAGGAAGCAGCGATCCAGTGTGAGCTACCTTGGCCCCCGAAGGGAACGCTGCTCATGTGAAGATTGCACAGATGGCAGCCCACGGTGAAGTGATGTACGATTTCCCTTCAGAATAAAATGGGGTATGTGCTTAAGGCAAGCCCTTCCCACCGACCCGTTGCTTCCAGCGCTGGTCAGTAACCCCGAATGCCAGCTTCAGGACCAGCGTGGCAAGCCTGGGAGTCTGGCTGCTCCAGGTCGAGGCCCAGCTCCCTACACCCAGCAGGCAACGTCACTGGGCATTGTTCTGAGGTGACAAAGCATTTTTCTTCTTTCGATAATATATTAATTCCTTTTGGGTGTGATTGACCTTCAGAGCTACCTGCGCAAACTTGGATGATAACAGTGATCATCTGGCCCTGATGTCCCAAGCTTTCTGTTTACACCCAGAGAGCAGGGCACCTTGCATCAGATGGTGGTTTGCCTAAAATGCACACATGTAAATCCACTGGCTGGGAGCCAGAGCCGAAGGGCCAAGGATCAAGACCCACCAGTGCACTGAGACTAGCACCCAGGCACTTGGGCCTTTTATCTATTCAAAGGGAGAATGCATCCCACTAATTGGAAAAGTAACTAAATGTAAGATATCACTTGTCAGTCAGAGACCCTCCAAAAACATGGCCGTGGTTATGCGCTTATGAGGCACGGTCAGGCTGTCTCAGAAGAACCGATTGTCCCATGGTGGGGAGCCGGGGGGAGAGGGTATGGCACACAGAGGCAGCCTTCCCTCCCTCTCATGCACTTTTGTCTCTTGAGTGCACAGAAATGGGCCTTTAGCCCTCACAAGTTCCTTCTCTGCTGCCCTTGACCACCACTCCTTCCCCTAGAGCCCTGTTACCCACCCCATGCCCACCTGACCCCAGACACCAAGCATGGCCTTTAAACTACCTGCCTCGGAATTGCCTGGTTCCAAGTCAGAAATGTGGGTTCCCAGGACCCACTGCAGACCTTTGGGACCATGTCTGCGGGCAGGGCTCTGGGATCAGCTTTTTTGGCGAACCAAGGTTGGCATACCCCATCGCCCTCACCTGCGTCAGGGCCCGAGACCAGCGGCTCACAATGTCCGTTCTCTGCTCCAGGAAGAGTCCCTGTTGCCCGAACCTTGCCAGCCCCCCAGCTCTCGGGAGCAGGCCCACCCCGGTTCCTGCTCTGCTCTCCAGCGTGGAGGGCAGCTGGGCCTGACAGTCCCTGCCCCGTGTCTCCTCGTCCCGTGCCGTCCCGCTGGCGCCACTGCCAGCCCAGGGCCGCTCCTCTCGAAAGGTAGCCAGCTAGGCCGGCAGCCCGGGGCTCCTTCCCACCACCTGCTTCCCTGTCGGTAGGAAAAGTCCCTGCGAACGCCTGTTTACTTACCACTAGCGCCTGCCCCCTGGGCTGTCGGGCGGAGGCAGCCGGCTCTTTGCACTTCACCGACCTCTGCCTCCACCCCCTGGCCGCCTCCTGGAAGTGCAGGTGGGCCTGACTGCTGCCTCTGGAGCTTTCCCTTGCTGGCTCCCTAGGTGAGGGCTCAGGTATTGGGCCAGTAGGGCAAGTGTGTTATTTTAGTGTGATTTGGGCGAGTCCAGGGTACGCTCTCACCTTTATCAGGTGCTGGACCCTGTATTTACTTTGGACATTGGACTTGTGAGCCGATCAGATGCTGTTGTTCTGTTCTGCCTGTGCTTGCTGTACCTGGGCGAGGGAGCTTTTAATGTCAGTGTTTCATTTGCTAATTAACTTTCAAAGGTAGGGAGAAAAAGATGCTTTGGGGGAAGGATTTGAGGGGAAGGAAGACTTCTATTGATTTGCGTCATCTGTCTGACCACAATTACCATGGCATTATCAGTCCTGCTATTTAATGTCAATTCCTTTTTAACCAGAATTATCTGGGTCCATCACAGCAAAATTGGAAAACTGGGCTCCTAGTGTTGTTCGGCCTCCTTTAGGGGCCTAAGGAAGAAGGCTTCTAAATACTTCTTAATTAACAGAAGTTGCTGGGTGCCCCTGTCCCAAAGTGCAGTCGGTTCTTTGCCCAGCAACTCCTCCATCATCCCTGGGCAGTGTGGCTTAGGCGGAAGGGGCTGGAGGTGAAATGTAGGGAGTTCGGTCTTTCCCCTCCTGACTAGGTCCTCACCAGAGTCAGTGCACCCAGAACTCTGCACCAGCCTCTGCGGGCTCCAGCAGCCTCATGGAGAAGCTCCCCACAGCTTGTCACAGCTGGTGCTGTGCACTGTGCGCCCTCCCGCCCCCCGCCATCGAACGTAATGATCGTACGCGTGCACAAAGTTGTGGTGGGCGATTTGGCATGCTGTTCTGTTGCCGGGTCAGGTTCCTCAGGAGTTGAGGGCCCCTGGACGCTGCACCCATGAGGCCCAATGAACTTGGGGCCCTGGGAGCTGGAGAAGGAGGGAGGGGTGCCTTTGAAGCCACCTGACTGGGAGGCTGGAGGCCTGGCACGGGCACCAGGGCAGCTCCCGGCCTTCTCTGCTCTTTACGGCCTCATGCTGGGGTGATCTCGCCTCTCCTGGGGCCCAGCAGCTGGGGTGGGGGGGGTCAGGCTGGTGGGCAATGCAAGGAGGAGTCCTCAGAACCGGGTGCGGCCTCAGGGCAGAGGCCTGGGCTTTGCCACTGATGAGACCTTCTCTTTCACCTTTTCTTTTGTCTCCAGCCCCCAATCCTCTCAGCTTTAACTTCTGTTCCCAACGCAAAGCCCCTGCAGGAGAAAGGGAGCTGGCCCACATTATCCGTAATGGGCAGAAGCTGTGGGTCAAAGTCATAAGTGAGCCAGCGGCTAGGCCGCCCTGGGGCAGCCGAGCCCCGGTTCAGTCAGCTCTCGCTGGGTAGGCACCGGGCAGGGTGGCACGCGCCATCCAGGTTTGCCCCTCCACCTCAGGAGCTGCATGAGGGCCCACGACAGAACAGCTGACTTGTGAAGGGACCTTCTAAAGCACCATTGGTTTGTCTCATTTCCTCCCTCCTTCCAATAGATGTGTCCCAAAGTTATGACCCTGTTGACCCCACTGTGTCAGTGTTGCCCTGGCCTGACAAATGCATTTGGCTGAGGCCACCTGGTTCACAGTGCTTGGTGGGAAAGGAGCCGGGAAAACTGGGGGGTCTCGGTCCTTGCCTCTCATCTGTACCATGTGGCACAAACCGGGGCCTCGAGGCAGGGCTCTGAGGCCATCAGAGGAGGCAGTGTGCAGGGACACGACTGCTGAGCAGCGTGTTTCTGGTTCGTGTCTGAGAGACCCTGACACCCTTTCCAGGGATGTGTGGCTTCCCCAGGCCACGTGTGTCGGGGAGAAGGCGGTCTGGGATGAAGGCATGACTCACTGAGGGCAGCACCGGGTTTGTTCCCGGCTCACCTACCCCTCACTCACTTCTTTGCACCTGCTTTTGAAAATCACAAAAGGCGACACGAGAGAGAATGGCCTACGGGGGACCAGAGGGCCTCTCCCAGATGGCCTTTTCACTTCCACCCTGTGGCCAGGCGGATTATGGGACAACTCGGGTGACGCAGGCGCCTCCACCCTTCCCGGAGGTGTGCGGACGCCCCGCCCCCCGCCCAGCCCTGCACTGGTTAACGCGTCCCCCAGTCTCAGCACGCTCTTGTCCAGCCCTCCTCAGGGCCTGGCCTGGCTGTGCAGGGGGGACGATGAAAACACAGGAAAAGGAAACCTCTGTAGCCATGACAAAAATGGGAATGTTTTCCTCCACACATAATCTCAACCAGACTAGGGAATGTTGTGAAAATAGCTGTTTCCCCTAGGGCATTCACAATTTTATGAACAAACCAGATGAGCAGAGTGCATTTTAATGTTCCTGAACCAGAGTCCAAGATTCCTTTCTTCCTCGTGTAGCTCATGAGATCCCTGAGGGGCATCTCTCGGGTGACAAGAGGATGTCTTGCAGGTGTGCAGATGTCAGGCTGTGGGGGGCAATAGAAGGGACAGAGCTCCTTGCCATTTTTTCTTTTGTATCCTTGAGTGAAATCATGTGGCCCTCCAGCTCCCCAGCGGGGTGATGGCATGACGCCCAGGCACTCTGGCGACTTGTCGTCGCCCCCTCTCAGCTCTCCTGCAGCAAACCTGCAAGCACAGGGCTGAGAGCCAGGCTCCGGGTGGCAGGCCCCCAGAGGTGTTCTGCCTGTCGTGTGTCTTCCCTCTGCACGGTCACTGAGGAAACCCACTGGCGTCCCCCTCTGCCTTTGGAAGCATGGTTGAGCCGGGTTGGGTGCTCTAAACGGCATGTGGCAATGTGCACGTGCCGTCGTTCTACCGCGCAGCCTGGCTGCCCTTGCCTAACTCACTGGGCGACCTTGAACAAGCCCCTCTCGCTCCGCCAATTATGGAGCACTGACCATGTGCCAGGCACTGGGTGACCACATGCCTGAGCGGTGTCAGGGGCTAGATCTCCGCACCAGTGCTATCTGTTGTCTGCGTGTTACAGGTGAGGAAGCTGAGACACAGAGAACTCGCTTCATTTGCCCTGGGCCACCCAGCCAGGAAGAAGGTGGCAGAACTGGGGGTCTGCCCGTTACCTTGGCAATCGGATCCTCCCTGATCCTAGGGCCCCGTGCGATCTGTGGTGGTAACGCCTGAGCCTGAGTAGGGGCAGGCACTGTCCTGCTCCTCCTCCTCCTGCTCCTCCTGCTCCTGCTGCTCCTGCTCCTGGTGCTCCCCCTGCTCCTCCTGCTCCTGCTCCTCCTCCTCCCGCTCCTCCTCCTGCTCCTCCTGCTCTGCTCCTCCTTCTCCTGCTCCTGCTGCTCCTGCTGCTCCTCCTGCTCTGCTCCTCCTGCTCCTGCTCCTCCTGCTTCTCCTCCTCTTCCTCCTGCTCCTCCTTCTCCCCCTCCTCCTCCTCCTGCTCCTCCACTGCTGCTCCTCCTGCTGTGCTCCTCCTGCTCCTCCTGCTCTGCTCCTCCTGCCCCTCCTGCTCCTCCTGCTCCTCCTCCTGCTCTTCCTGCTCCTCCTCCTGCTCCTCCTCCTGCTCCTCCACTGCTGCTCCTCCTGCTCTGCTCCTCCTGCTCCTCCTGCCCCTCCTGCTCTGCTCCTCCTGCTTCTCCTCCTCTTCCTCCTGCTCCTCCTTCTCCCCCTCCTCCTCCTCCTGCTCCTCCACTGCTGCTCCTCCTGCTGTGCTCCTCCTGCTCCTCCTGCTCTGCTCCTCCTGCCCCTCCTGCTCCTCCTGCTCCTCCTCCTGCTCTTCCTGCTCCTCCTCCTGCTCCTCCTCCTGCTCCTCCACTGCTGCTCCTCCTGCTCTGCTCCTCCTGCTCCTCCTGCCCCTCCTGCTCTGCTCCTCCTGCTTCTCCTCCTCTTCCTCCTGCTCCTCCTTCTCCCCCTCCTCCTCCTCCTGCTCCTCCACTGCTGCTCCTCCTGCTGTGCTCCTCCTGCTCCTCCTCCTGCTCCTCCACTGCTGCTCCTCCTGCTCTGCTCCTCCTGTTCCTCCTGCCCCTCTCGCTCTGCTCCTCCTGCCCCTCCTGCTCCTCCTGCTCCTCCTCCTGCTCTTCCTGCTCCTCCTCCTGCTCCTCCTCCTGCTTCTGCTCCTCCTCCTGCTTCTGCTCCTCCTGCCCCTCCTGCTCCTCCTGCTCCTGCTCTTCCTCCTCCTGCTCCTGCTCCTCCTGCTTCTCCTGCCCCTCCTGCTCCTCCTACTCCTCCTGCTGCTTCTGCTCCTCCTGCTCCTCCTGCTCTGCTCCTACTGCTCCTCCTGCTGCTCCTGCTCCTCCTGCCCTCCTCCTCCTCCTGCTCCTCCTCCTCCTCCTCTTGCTCCTCCTGCTCTGCTCCTCCTGCCTCTCCTGCTCCTCCTGCTCCTCCTGCTGCTCCTGCTGTGCTCCTCCTCCTCCTGCTGCTCCTCCTGCTCCTCCTCCTGTTCCTGCTGCTCTTTCTCCTCCTGTCCCTCCTGTCCCTCCTGCCCTCCTGCTCCTCCTGCCCCTCCTGCTGCTCCTGCTCCTCCTGCTCCTCCTGCCCCTCCTGCCTCTCCTCCTCCTCCTGCTCCTCCTGCTCCTCCTCCTCATCCTGCTCTTCCTGCTCCTCCTCCTCCTGCTCGTCCTGCTCTGCTCGTCCTGCTCTGCTCGTCCTGCTCCTCCTGCCCTGCTCCTCCTCCTGCTCCTCCTGCCCTGCTCCTGCTCCTCCATCCCCTGCTCCTCCTCCTCCCCTGCTCCTACTGCTAGGGCCCCACTCCTGCTCTGTTCCTGTTCTAGGAGGAGCAGTGCCTCTTTTATTCATTTTGAAATTTGGGGGTTAGTTTAAGAGTTTGCTTGAAAGAGTGTTTTTGTTAAAAACAAAAAGACACTTTGAAATCTACAGGGTTTGATGTTTTAAAGCTCTTCCCAGACCTTCTAAGGCTCATTTTCCCCTACAAGTCCCGCCATGCCTCAGTCCCTCATAAAGAATTTGAGCTTGTTGCCTTTGCACAGGCATTAGCATTAGCTTGGGTAAGAAATGCTTGAGAGAGATCAATCTTACCAAAAACTGATGTTGCTTTACAAAGAAAAAGCTCCCCCCGCTCAGTGTGTGTGTGTCCTTGCCCCCAGGTGATGCCAGCAAGGAGCGGGAAGGCGGCTGACTCTAGGACTCCCAGGCCACTTCCTCACTCTGCAGGAGGTCTTGCCCTCCGCTCAGCTTCCTCCTCTGTCCCTAGCCACCCCTCCTGGCCTGGGGAAGGTGGAAGAGCAGAGGCAGGCCGGCGGAGGCAGCTCTGAGAGCGGCTTCCCACGCACCCGGAGTGCCCGCCTCCCCACCAGCTTTCTCTTGGGCTCCGATCCCGCGGCCAGGCTTACTCCCTCGGCACCGTCCACCCCCTCCATGCCGCCCGGGCCCCACTCTCCCGCCCTGTGGGCCCAACTCAGGACTGTTTCAGGCTGAGCTAGCAGAGGAGAGAGAAGCAGGGGTGTCACACACTCGGGAGTTCGCCGCTCCTCCTTGGCTCTCTCACCCACCAAAGGCCTTCACCCAGAGCGCGTGGCCTTGGAAACACAGCTCCCCGTCCCTTTGCTCGGCACCTGCGCCAGCTGACTCTAAGGACGCCCTGGGGAGTGTGGCTGCCATCCACCCTGCTGTCCGGCCTCCAACCCTCACACCTGTCCTCACCTCCCCAGCTGCTGGGCCCTCGCCCCCGTCAGGCCCCGTTGCCTGTGCTTTTGACCTCCCAGGCTGCTCTGTCCCCATCCCACTCCTTTCCCTTTCTTCCAACAGCCCTGTGCTCTTCTCCCTTGAGAATCAGGAAGGTGGGTTGGGGGCGGGGGGGGGGGGGCTCCTCCAGAGAAGGGCGTGATCCAGCCCCGCTTCAAACTGTGTGACCTTGAGCAAGGCACTTTCCCTTTGAGCCTCAGTTGACTCATCTGAAAATGGCCGTAAGAGCACTTGCCTCCTAGGATGTGGCCAGAAATCAAGGAGAGGACGTAGGGCCCTGAGTGGGGGGTGCCTAGCACCAGCCTCGTGTTTGCCCTGTGAGTGAAATGGTAAGTCTGCCAAACAGAGTTAGTGAGTAACTGTGGCTCTGGGGACATTGCTTTCACCCATGCCTGCTTCCTCCTCCCCGTCCCCAGCCCACAGAAGTCACATGTATGCGGTTGAGAGTCCTTTCTTCAAGTAGAAATACTTCTTTCCCCTTTCCTTGAAGGTGAAGCTACGATTGAAGAGAAAATGAAAGCCCCTCTTCGGCCCAGCTTGCCTGGGGGAGCTTACGAGGGCGAGAACGTGGGTCGGGACTGTGCAGAGCCAGGCCCTGGGCCTCCTAAATCTTGGCAGGCTCTGGCGGCCAGGCCCGGGGAGGCAAAGGCCCAGCTTCCGGAGACGGCCACGAGTGGCCAGCAAATGCCTCTCTCGGGCTCAGCCTAAGCGGCTTCCCAGAACATGAGGGGATGCTTCAGAAGCTGGTTAAGTGATTTTCAGCAATTTCAGAAATTGCCTCAGCTGGTTATTTCGATTTCCCCACAGCCTTGGATTAAAGCAGAAAGAAGCAGGGCCCCTGGTGATTGGAAGAGAACGTGGCTTTGTCCCAGGAGGGCCAGCCGCTGTGGGAAGGAGAGGGAGAGGCCTGAGCTGGTCCTGCCATGCGGGCAGGCAGCCAAAGGCACTGGCTCCCCCCGGCCTCAGCTTTAGGCTCGGGGCCCTGGCACCCCTACACAGCCTCACTCACCAGTTTGCCAGGGTCCTCAGCCGAACCCACTCATCACAGCTGGTAGAACACTCGTGGCGTTCTTCCTCCTCACCCTAAGACAACAAAAACCAAGCATTGTCTCTGCAGTTAGCCTATCAGACTTAACCTCTAAACTCTGTGTTTGCTTCTTTTTTTTCCTTCGCTGGACTGGGATGACGGTGCCAGGTTCAGATCAACTGGCTTTCTCCTTCCAGAAGCAGTTGGGAGGAAGAGAAAGGCCAGTTCTTGGGGTACCCAGTGGGTGCTGTCTTGAGTGTTACTGTTAAGAAGGGGTTTCCTAAGAAGGGACATATGTCCTGGCCACAGTTAGGACTCAGACAGCACACAGACACCAGGCATGTCTGGGCCTGGCGCTGATCTTTGGGGAAGGAGTAAGGCTGTTGACATTTGGTATCTGGGTCATATCTCAGTGGTGGGGGTCCATCAGGCCTTCCTCTTCCTCCTCTTGCTCCTCCTCAAAGAGCTGTGACCTGGGTGTGCCTGGGTCTGGCCCACACAGCCCGCTGTTCCAGATTCCCCCATTCCCATCTGCCTCCGTGGGCCACCCCTCCAACCCCCGCCAGGGCTCCAGTTGCCCTCGCAGCCTGGGAGATGAGGTCTTGGCCCTGGAACCAGCTGTTGATCCAGATAATCAGCAAAACCAGGGAGCCTGAGAATCAAATTCTAACTCCAGCCCTGCCTTTGTCTCCACATCAGACCCTGGGGGTTAACTTGACCTCTTTTCCATCTCCAGAAGATTCTCATCCCTGCTCACTATTGCTCTGGGGCCATCATGGGAGCCAAGGAAAGGTCACTGTGCAGCAGTTCTTGGGGGCTGGAGGGGAGGCTGGAGAGTGGGTGTACCTGTGCGCTCCGAGGCTGGAGCCTGGGCCGTGTTCAGACAGGAGAAGTGGACCAGAGTCACACATCTGCGTGCACTGTTTGGCTTGATAACAAGTGATTTTATCTCCTGATACTATTACGTATTTTATATATTTCTTAATATTAAATTGTAAATTATAAATTATCCCTGCAGGGGCGCCTGGGTGGCTCAGTCGGTTAAGCATCCTACTCTTGGTTTCAGCTCAGGGCCGTGAGATTGAGCCCCGCGTCGGGCTCTGCACTCAGTGGGGAGTCTACTGGTCCCTCTCCCTCTGCCCCTTCCCCACCTCCTCTAAAATAAATAAATAAACGAGATCTAAAAAAAAAAAAAAAAATATCCCCGGGCAGCCAGTGCCCTGCAGACAGTTTAAAAGGCTGCCTCCTGTCCATGCCTCTTGTCACCTCGCATGTAGCGCATGCGCCCTGCCTGCTTCTGCTGCCCTCTGCGATGCTCTCTTTTACCACGTGTATACACTTTAAGGTTGTCTCCTGTTTTTTGCTATGTTGTAAACCGCACAGTGGTCAGTATCCCGACACGGAGACCTCTCCGTACCGGACCTACTTCTGCATTTCACCTGCAGA